TCGGGGAGATGTAGAAATAATACCTTTCATTTGGCATTCTGTGAGCTGTGTGTGTGAAATACCTGGAAGTACAATGTTTGCTTATGTTCTGTGTTCTTAATGACAGGTTATGAGTACTGTGTGCTGAGGAATTGCTAGTGGCGATCTGTGTGTGATGGCAGGACGGCCTCATGCTTATGATAGCAACTCAAGTGATCCAGAGAATTGGGATAGGAAATCTCACAGCCGGCCACGCAAACTCTATAAACACTCAAGGTATGTTGGAATTATACCTTTGGCTGATTAAGGTTGATGAAAGTAAATTGTGTGCCAGTGACACGCAGTCGATTGGAAAGAAGGACGTTTGTTTTTTAGGGGTGCTTTTTATAGCACAGTGTTGGCTGGATGCTTAATGAATCACTTTATTTCTAACAGTTGTTAACCAGTCAAAATGTGTCTTCTTGCCAACGTGCTGAATTAAAACAAACCTTGTTTTCAAAATGGTATCTGTAATAAATCACAGAATATGAGTGTCAAAAGTTTGGTAGGATAAGGCATCAGATATTGATTTCTAGAAAAAATGTTGTCATCCTGCACTGTTATCTTAATTGGGATTGTTTTTTAAAGTTGTTAACTACAATCAAAAGATAAATGTTTTCACACAGTTTGTGAAATGCAGTATTTGAGAATAGCTCCATGTACTGTGCAAAACTATACTGTAGATGCAAATGGAATTAAGTTTGTGATTTCTTTATAGTTGCTCTGTTTCTATAGATCATTCAAGAAATCTAAATCTGCCACTACATTTGTAGATTAATTTTTAGATGTAATATATTAAGTTTAATATGTGTATATATAACACCTATGAAGATTTTATCTAGGATGGAGTCATGATTGTTTGTACATTGTTTTGTATTTGATAGAGATTCACACGTTTAATTTTTCCTGTTCTCTTGGCTTCTTGGAAAGCTAACCTGTAGTCAATTTAACTGGCAGTGCCTTTTAGTTTTGCCCATCTTTGGTGTACATTGCAAAATGTTATTTCTGTGATGACAACAGTATGTGTTTTGTCATGACCATACCTCTGGATGTCTTATAGAAAGGTGTATACATTTTCCTGTGTTAAATTTTTTTTCTTAAAGCAAATCTTGTCTGTTAACAAAAATTTACTGTGACATGTTTGTAAATCACTTCAGCCTACAAGCCCTTGAAAGCAATGATGCAAGTGAGATTATTTTGGAATGTTAGACAGCAGTTGTATTTTCCGTAATAGTGTCTGAAATCCATCCTTCTTGATATCCACGTGAATTCGGTGAGGTTAAAGTGACCTTCCCCCAGGTTGATGTGTAGGCCTGTTCTGCTGTTTAGTGGCCCAAGGATCAGGGCAATTATCAGGGTACGCAGTATGTTTCAACCTGGGTAGTCAGTTAAATATTTAATCTAATTACATTCTTAGCCATATAAGATAAGACACATGAGAGACACAGACAGAGAAGCTTGGGGTCAGAGCACAGGGTCAGCCATTTATACGGCACCCATGGATGTAAGAGATATATAGGATGTCATGTCTTTTACATTTACTCTAAACATTCAGATAATTAAAGGAGCAGTTGTTTGAAAACAGAGTAACTGACTTAGGGCAGCTTAGGTTAGTGCTGGTACAGTTTTGCTTTTAATGTAACAATTAGTCCAAATATGTAAATAGGATCTTTAGAAACTTAGAACAGTTCTGAGACACCGTATGATGTCCCTGAGCCTCCTAAAATATGAATTTGTTACATCCTGTGGTGGCTCGGAACGGTTCTTACTGCTAACCAACTTAAACATTTTTAAATTATTTATACTGTATGTGCAAGATTGTGGAATTTGTATATTGTATAAAACACATTGAAATGTAATGCTTAATAAACACAAAATGTATCTACTTTCATTACCTAAGTTGGAAAATTCCTAACTCCCTTGTTTATCACAGTGTATGTATTGCAGGAGCTCTGCTTTATAGCGTATATACAATTCTATAGTTAAACATGCAAAAGAGATAAGTACCTTCTCCAATTCTGGGAAAGGGGAGTCCTTTCTCCAGAGATCTCACAAAGCACATATAATCTGAGGAAGCTCTAGCTTGTTTGGTTACTGGTAGCTTATTGATCATTCTGCTATTTCTTGAAAGAAGCCAGGGTTTCTGCAATGTGGCTGTGTCTTGTTCCAGACACCCTCAACCTTGTGGAGACAAGGGAAAAATGAGCAAGCGCCTCCTGTTCTCAAATTGTAATGCCCTTTCTTTTAGTTTCATCTTGTCCTCTAGTTTGTGTTTCACTATTGATTCTGAGTTAGACTTTCATTGCCTTTGTGGGTTTTGAATAAACCTGCTAGCTGAGTTTGCCCACTTTGGCACATGGTTTCGGTTGAGAACCAGCCTTCCCAGAGGTGAAAATACCCTCGCTCATGCACGCTTCTGCCCCTGTTAAAAAGCATGCAGCCTCTCCACCCAGCATCCCCACATACTCGGATATTTACCAGTCTTCCAAGGGTCTTCAGGACTGTGACCTCCACAGTTGATGACAAAAGGCTGTACATGAACAATAATTCTTGTCTTCTCTGCTCATGACTTAAGACTCAGGCGACAAGAGCTGAACAAAAAAACAAAATTGTTCTTTATTCTTAATTGGGCTTTAACATAAAACATATTTTACATTGAATTAACCTTAATTGCCCCTAAGGGAATTTGTTTTGTATATCAAGAGCTCATATTATGAGACATAATATAAATTACAACAATACAATACTATTATACTAAACAACATTGAATAACATTGTTCATCTAGAACTCAGTCCAGTATCATAAATATTAACTTTATATATAAACAGATCATATTTGGCACTTACTGCTCCCAGTATTCTGTTTTCTGTTTTTTGTTTTCTCATTTTATTCAAATTGGAATCTGCACCAAGCTCAGATATAGGTTGGCTTAGGGCCCTTTCGGAATAAAAGAGTATGAGAAGTTATAGGTTATCTGTGGTCCATATTCCTAGTTTAACCCATGCATTTCATTATTGCCCTCTAGTGGAGAGAGACCAATACTATTGCAGGATTGAGGTGCAAGTTGGTCTATTTAATTCAGATGTATTTTCTTTTGGATACACAAGTTCTTGAGGCATATGCACAACACAAGCTCCTTTTAGCTTTGTATTTTAACCTAGCACTGTACAAAATACATTTCAGTCATTTCTTTCAGTGAGGTATAGAAAATGTAATATGTTGGTTACAATATTTATTATTTATTACAATACAATACTTATTAATTTTGTGAAAACCTAACTGTATGGATACATTTTGGTTGTAAAATGCTTTCTGAGGTTTAGGTTGTTTTTTTTTTAAACTAAGATTTCTTATCCATATCAAATTCAACTCACATCTTATTTCAGTGCTGTTTCATGAGCTTCCCTTTTTACCGTATCTGACTTTGTAAAGTCATTTTTGGCTGTTGCTCAAGACTGATGGGTTCTCATTGATTTTTGATTTTTATTTCTTTCTACAACGCCAAGTGGTTGTCTGTGCCTGTGATTTGGCAATGTTTTTTTAATTTGGCTATCCTGATTGAGGCATTGCATTTATTAAACCATTTTTAAAAAACTTGCATGAGTGATCAGTGTTTCTAGGGTCTTACATTTGTTAGCTGGAGTTTTCTTGAGCTTTATGCAGTTGTGTACTCTAGGTGAACCTGGGTTTACTACATGTTTATCATGAAATTTCATCTTTTTCCAGAGCATAGGCATTGCTTTGTCTGTGATCTTCTATGATAAATTACCATCTGCTTTATATACTAAGGAACTAAATGCATTAAGTGAGCATTTGAGTCAATAGATTAATTCTAATGCCTCTTTCTCTGTGGTACTGGTACTGAGTTCTAACTGAAAATTACTTTTATAAAATAACACTTTCAGTTGAACATGCTGAAACAGATTAAAGCAGATGATTTGGTAATGCTTTCCTTATTTCAGTTTTTTTCCCCTTTGGAATGGCTTTTTTCCAGTATATCACTGTCCTTCTTTATTCTTCCTTTTTATAAAACCATCCATCTGTGCCAGTTAGCTGTCCTAGGCGTGGTGGAAAAAAAAATAAATCTCTTATTGCCTTATACATTCCTTATAAATATTTTGAGATCTGTTACCCATCCCAAAGAAACGTGCTTTAAATGTGTTGAGTTTAGGCCATCCTTTGCACCTTGCCCTTGGTTACAGTAGTTACATTGTAAATAAACTTTTACAGAAATGCCACAATATTGTGATATGTTGTATCAAGTATGCAGCACCTAAAATATTGCTATATGTATTAAGTGTGTCACCTACTACGTATAGCATACATTGCTATATGTAGTAGCTGTCTTACTGCTATGTACCTGGCATAGCATACTTAACTTTTTGGGGTATCTTAAATTTTGTGTTCCTACTTCTTTTTAGCAAGGCATCTAAACATGTTCTATGATTGGTGATTGTAGTCATTGGAAAGCAAAATCAGATGGCAGGTTAATATTTGTCAGTCCTGATGATTAAGGTTGTAACTGCACCTTAAAGTTGAAGCACCTAGTAGAAGCTACTTTTCTAGGTTTTGATACCTCATAGAGAAGTCTCTTAGAATACAACAGTAATCTATTTTCTAGAATGTATTAGGTACATTTGCAGACAGTTACATAATAGAACAAGTAAGGGATTTTAAAATTGAAGCTGTTAGAAATCTGATTACAAATCTAAAAAATGTAAGGTAATTTTTTCCCTTAAAATTGATTAACAAATCTATATGTAGGGGAATATAAAAATAGAAGTTGAAGGAGGAATAAAAAAACAGAAACCTGCAGATTCTTTGTGCATTCAGGCTGATCTTTGAGCTGTAACGTCATGTCGCCAAGTGATGTGTCTCTATCGTTGCAAATAGAAATGGTAGGAGTCCTATTTTAATCCTCCTTGATATATATTTTCTGCAGGGGTTGAGGAGAGTAGGCGGCCATCTTTTTAATATTTCATTGCGAGTTGATAGATGCTGCTGCCAGCTCACAGCCAGAGGAATGGCTACACAGACGGTGCTTGGCAGAGAGCCAGAAGAACTGCATGCTCTCCCGTTTTCTCTTCCCGTTTTTCTCCATTCTTATAAAGGTTGTGTTCCCTGCATCATCGGTCTGCTTCTGCTGCTTGGAGATGGAGTAATTGCAGGCTTGAAAGCAGCTTGCAGGAGACTGTGGGGGTCAAAATACGTCAGCAGCACTGCACTCCACACGTCTGACTCACTGCCTGGGATAAAATGATTTGCCTTTATTCCTGCGGGTCTCAATGCTTGCACTGAATGGCTTTTAATGTGTGCCTTTTTTCTTTCTTCCCGACTGTACAATTAAAAAGCTCTCTAGCCTTCTTTGGAGATGGTGCTTGAGGCTGAAGGCTATGCCAGAACGGTAATGGGAGTAGCACAAATATGCTGAACTTTAAAAGTAATGCCCAAGGATGTTGAGCCGGCTTCCAAGGCTTCATTGTTCGGAGGAGTGCATGTCTTTTGTGCTTTCATCCCCCCGTTCAGCCCATGTTGCTTTGTCTTTAACCTACCGTGCGAGGCAGAGGGGTAGGTGCTACATCGGTGTCTAACCGTCTGTGCTTTACTATGTTCTAAAACTATTATGTTCTAATGGAATTAACTGGATGAACAAAAAAAACTTTCTATTGCTGTGATGGGTTTAAAATCAAATTCAGTTTTAAAGTTGGGAGATTGTGTTCATTGTGCAGATGTTGTAGTATTTGGGGAATTAATACATTTTCTCCATTTGTTGTCCAATGTCTTGGTTTTCAGAAGGGTTTTTAAGCAGAATTGGATTTTATATCACCGGAGGTTAACCTTCTTATCCTTCTTCCTGTTTTGTTTAGCGATGTTACATAAAAATAGTGTTGTCAGCACTTTAAATTATAAATGAGACTTATGCGTAAAGCTGTAGGACCATTTAATATATTCACGGTAATTGTCAAGAGTAATTTCATTTCACTGACTGTAACAGACCTTTAAAATGTTAGGTGTAAGAGTAGTGAATGGTATTTACACTAATGAAGGGATTATTTATATTAATCTGCTAGTGTAGATCCCCCCCAGCATAAACATGGAGGAAATCTGTTATTTTATATGAAACTGAATTTTATGTAGATCTGCATAAGATCTGTAAAGTATTTTTATAGTAATAATAATGGTCTGGAGGCATAAGTGAATAAACTTCACTGATTCATTCAATTACTAGTAAAGAGGCTGCTGGGATTGCCTTTTGATAATATGAATGAAAGCTTAACTGTCAGGAGGGAACATCTGTCTTTACAAAATGGGTTTAGGAAATGCAGGTTTTTATTTTTCTTTGCAGTAATTATGTTAATACCCTGGATGTAGGTTCTTTGTGTGAATACTCCACTAAACCCTGTTTTGACTTTACTGGTTGTGCCTTTGTTATGTTAGTGAAATAGCGCATCTACATTCCATTCCCTTCTTTTTGATTCATAAAACTGTGCTTCAGGCCAAGGATTTCTTTTTGTGTGTGGAAGTCTGTGTGTCGATCAGGATGCCGGTCTGTCTGACTCGAGGTGTGCCTCAGAGCAGGTTGGGCTCGGCTTGATGTTTGTGCCTACCATGAGTGGGTAAAACAGAAGCTATTTTGGGCAACAGCTAAACGTGAAGTGTGTGCATGAAGTGTTTCGATATCTTGATTGGAAGTACCATGAATAAATGCATTAACTGAGTTTGCAAAAACTTCACTGGTAGCAGACTTGCCTTTTTTTGTGGTTCCACAATTGAATGACCATAATTTAAAAAAATCTGTATTTAAGTTTTCGGCTGTGCTGATGTTTGCCAAAGCTCCTGCTAAGTGTAATTTGCTTTGGATATCCTCTTACCGCAGATGAAGGTCTTGTATTTCACAATGTAATACAGCAGGTAGTGACCTGGGGATGCTTGCGGCGGTATCACCTGGCGAGGGAATCTGAATTGTTCTTCTTTAACTGTGCAGTACAGCAGTCTCTGCTGAAGACCGACAACATCCTTTACGTTTTCTTTTGCCTTTACTGCAACCCATTTTGTAAAGAAGATAGAAAACTGATCAAATACATAGCTGTGGGTTGAAGACTCGTGGAGGCTGTTAACCCCACCCCTGCTGCATGTGGACCCAGGGGGAGGTAGGAAGTAGCATAATTAACCTGGACCTCATGAAAGGACAGTGTGCTGTCTCCCGGTCCAAAGAAAATTTGGATCAAAAGAATTTTGCTATTTGTTTGCCTCCTTTCACTCAGCTGGTGTGGTTTTTGTGCAGTGATTGCAGAAAACAAGGAGTGTCGTGGTGAGAAATAGAAATCCATACTGCCTCAGTATAATGTGGAGATGACATCTTTTAGTAGGTGGGAGTGTTGTGGTGTGATGGTGCTAGTCCTAACAGTATCAAGAGATGTGAAATGACATGAGGAAAATCCTGTGGCATGATTGGTTGAGCATAATCGTATAACTATAATAGGCTGTGACTGGCAGAGTTACTACAGGTCTTGTATCTTGGTATATTGCAACTAGTGCTAGAACACTGTGAAACCTTCAGTTCAATAAAACTGCCTGTATTTTTTAAAATGTAACATGCTGTAATTCATTTTTCAAATGAAGATTTTTTTTCAGTACTAGGCCTAGACAATACAGATATATTACATATTATATAATCTTTTTTTGTTTGGAAATCTTCTTGCTTCTAGTTTCATATAATGTCTAATGTCTTTAATTACAAACATTAGGTGATATTGATCTTTAAAGTTTAAAGCAGTAAAAAAACATATTCCAAGACATTTGATTAGATCGGCTTTGAAGCATGCTATTGCCAAAACCAAAATTTCCGTTGTTTATAGTTTTATTTCTGCAGTGTTCCTGTTAAACTGCAGGCAACCTTGTGAGCTAGATGAAGTATTGTTTTAGGGCTTGGTCACAGGCACAGAAATTCCCTGTGCTGTAATTGAGTTACTCCAAGGACATTTAGGGTATATCACATTTCAAAATCAGGTTTTGTATGCAAGTATTTTCCTAGTCGCAGATCAAGCTTGTGCAGTTAATAATACATCATTTTTATTATCATTTAATTTTTCCTTAATTGAAATGGCATTAAATATTAATTTATGTAAAATATGTATTAATGTGAAAATCTTCATGTATCTTATAAAAAAAAAACAAGTTCTGTGACTGAAGCAATGCAGAGGCCTTATGTCCTTGAATGTTGTGCTTTCGTCAATAAGTCAAACAATTTACATATTGCAAATTTACAAATCGCTTCATCAGGGAACAGAAAAGCAATCTTTTGAATACTCTTTCATTTCGATCAATAATTGTTTAACTTGTAGTGTTTCCAGCTAAGGGAGAGTAATTCAAAAATTAAAAACTGCTTGATTAATTTGTGAATTTTCTAATGCATTGCCTTCATCACCTATTACTCTACTGAACTGTTTAAAGTAGGTATTGATGGCAGAGTGATGAGTGATGCAGAGGAAATTCATGGGATTGTTTTGCGAACAAATTTAGCTTAATGTTTGTTCCTGCATTTGCTTCCAGAGGCAATAAGGTCCTATTGATATTCGTTAAGGCCTACTCAGCACTAGTGTGAATTATTGTTTTAAAAAGAGGTCAGCAAGGAAATCTGCAGATCTGTACAGATTTTATTTCTCTGGCAGAGGTTTCCAGACAGCGTGACTTTCTTGTTATTTTTCTCTTGAATTTGACATTTTTGATTAACTCAGAATTTTGAATTGCAGTGCCCAATCACGTGCTTCTAAACTTGAAGCTGATCTGGTGAAGATGAGCTTCCATGGTGCCAGTGGAGGATGTGACCGGTCCCGAGATCGGCGCAGGTCAAGTGACAGATCCCGAGATTCCTCCCATGAGAGGGGGGAAAGCCAGTTGACTCCATGCATTAGAAATGTCACCTCCCCTACTAGACAGCACAACAGTGGTGAGTGACTGAACAACATGACTTTTTTGTTGTTGTCAACACTTAAGCGTAGATCAGATTTGCACATTTGAAGTAGTAATGAAACACAGTAACATTAAAAAAAAAAATCTTGAGATTTAGATGACTACATCCACATACCAAAACAGTAAAATTTGATTTAATGGTGGATCTGCAAAAAATAAAAGCTGCTGCGACAGCTTTGTCCTAGATTTCCAGCAGGTAGCGGGGCTGGAGAGGGAAGGCAGAGTTAGTGGGTTTGCATCATCCCTGCATGTGCAGCTGTAGTCAGAAAACACTTTCTTGGAGTATATCTAAATATTTTGCCAAGAATTATAATGTAATTTTCATTAAGTACAGTCTATTGTATTGACTATAAAAATGGTGCCTTATTTTAAAATGTCAGACAAATTTGAAAGAAACACTATTATGTTATATATAGCTGAATACTAGACAGTCTTTCACCATTTCCACACTGCTGCATGTACTGTACTAGAAGTCTTGGAGGAAGACTGTTACTTGTCTGCAGTGAATCTATTTAAGGTTGTAAGCCTCTAAAATGTATGTTACAAATGTCTGTGAATGGTATGGCTGCTGAAAATTGTATATAAATATATCATTTTAAGATGTTTAAATTTACAAGTGATGAACCTAAGGCACATTTGACCAATACTGTGCCTTTCAGCTGTTTTTTAATTGCTTTAAATTTTTTTTCTACCCATATTTTGTTTCATGTTTCTGTACACAGTTCTCTGTACTGAAACTATAATGCTTAATGCTGCAGCCCTTTGATGTGAGTAAGCTGAGCAAGTATTTTTCGTGTCGGTGATTAACAGTGTTTGGAAAGAAACCATTTACATAAAGCTGATGGTCATGAAACCTTACATCTTGGGGGGGAGACAAACAGATGGATAGTGTACCTCTTAAATTCACAAACAAGATCCGTGAGGTACAGAGCCTTCCGTTTTTAAGTATTGTGTGGTTTTGCCCTTTGACTGGCCGTGTCTTCCAGATCGCGAGAGAGATCACAACTCCTCCTCCCGGCCCAGCAGTCCCCGGCCTCAGAAAGCCTCTCCGAATGGCTCCACCAGCAGCGGAGTCACCAGCAGCCGGAACAGCTCCCTGTCCAGCACCGAGGGCAACTGCAAGGGTGTGGGGGTCGGAGAAATGGTGTTTGTCTACGAAAATGTCAAAGAAGGAGCAAGAAGCATGAGAACCTCGGAAAGAGTAACCCTTATTGTGGATAACACTAGATTTGTGGTAGATCCTTCCATCTTCACCGCACAGCCTAACACGATGCTGGGCAGGTATACCAAATGCTGCAGCTCTTGTGCTATTAAACATGAAAGCTGGTTTGTTACTGCTGACATTTGAAGCTCTTTTGTGACCTTGGGTGTCAATTGATTTTTGTTGTTTAATTAGTGCTATAAGAACAAAAATGCTCCCACAGAAAAAAAAATGCTGAAATTGCATCAGATTGTTGAGATGACACACTCATTTACTTTTACTGGATTATCTCATTTAATCCGGTGTGCAAGTTTACTTAGATGTGGTTGGCAGATGGTTTCTGTATTCTTAATATTCTGAATGTTTAGGTAATGATCAGACAGTATGGAAATATTTGAAATGACCAGTTTTGTTCTGTAGATTGCTAGGATGTTTTTCAAGGAAATCTTCATTTCAAATTTCAGCATTTTTTCTATACTTGGTTTGTATTTTGTTAGTAATTATAGTACAGTACTCCCTTGGTTTCACTGACAAAAAAGGGGAAGGGGTATCCATTATTAACACTTGTCTGTCAAATCCAATTTTTTAGTCAGAAAACACTGACAAAAATATAATAGACGATATGTATACTTTCTGGATCTTTTGACTTATTTAAAAAAAAAAGTACATTTTCCTGTGCTATTTTTAACATTAACATATAAGCTTATTTCATGTTGTAAATATACAGTATAAAATTAGCTAAAGCATAAGAAACGCAAACACCCATCTTAAGCTGTTGATCTATAGAGTACCAGTGATATTCATGCCTGATAAACCTTGTATTTAAATGTAAGTTACATAAAATGTTAGTGTTATTATTTTTTCATTTAACTTTGTCAGTTATTGTGGTGAACCTCTATTTGTGATTTACAGATAAAATTCCCCTTCAAAACATTTTGTCCAGTAATTCTGAAGTCAGTTAATGCAAAGTCAGTTAAATCAAGGGTTAGCTGTACACCTTTTGAAGTATTCGATAAGTAGCATGTCCATGATATTAAAATATTCCACTGCATGCATGTCACATTAAACAGAATGTTTGGATCTGGAAGGGAGCACAATTTCACTCGACCCAATGAAAAAGGAGAGTATGAGGTAGCAGAAGGCATCAGCTCTACTGTGTTTCGAGCCATTCTGGTAAGGATGTGTTTACAATTACTAAAAAGTGTGGAAATATGGTATTAGTATAGATTTGTACATTTTCCATTTTATACAGTTCATACATATTAAAAAATGTGAATGTCATTGATGTGAAAAAATCAAGAATGGTTGCTTTTGAGCTAATTTTTTTTTCCTGTCCAGTTGTTAAACAGTCAACTTTAAAAATGTTCACATTGTAGCTACAAATGTTTAAGTAACTGTATTAGACTTATTCTTACTGCTAAAACTTTAATAGCAACTTTATCACCAAGTATTACTTAAATTTAAAAAAATCCAGATTAAAAATAGCTGTGATTTTATTGTATAATCTGTAATAGCAGCCTCAGGCTGTATTAAATAATATCAGACCTCCTGTGTGAGCAAGACGGTAGTAGGTGTGTGGCAGTGCCATGTGGAATCTTAAATTCTTCACTGAATCCTTTTGAAATTAAAATAATCCAAAAGTGTTAAATATGCACGTTAGTCATCACACTGCTCAAATCATGAATCATTGCTTTTCCAGGAATAGAAATGTGGTTATATTCAAGGATGTGTACAGCCTGATTTGGTTGTAGTTAGCTGTATATCCTTGTATTACTAATGATTCTCTTCACAGAATTATTTGATAAAATTTGTTTTCCATTAAAATTAAAAATGTATTGAATAATGTTAACCTTAGCATAGCTTACAATGTTTAAAAATCTCACACTACACCTATAATGTTTTTATACCTTGTCATCCGACCATGATATCTGATTTTGTAAAGCAGATTTACAAGGATCAGCAAAATATCCTGTGCCCTTCATTTCTGCTTCAGTATCTGCAGCTGTGAAGCAGGGTTCTGGTGACATGTACACACTATACCACTATATTGTTTTGAGGGGTTTATAGTTTTGTTTTATTAATAATGCTGTTTCCACCATCTTCTCTTATTTGTATGACATTCGAGCACTTGCACATGTAAGGGATGTCTCAGACAGAATTAGGTTAAGATGAATATTTATCTGATGTCTGTACCTTTGTAGTTGACTGCAGCAGAGGGATGATGGATCATTAATTTCAGTTTAGCACCTCCATGCTGCACATGTACAAGGGTGAGATGTAAAATATTCATTGAAGGATTAATGATAGTCGAGTTGCAGCAGTTATGCAGTATTTAGAAAAGAATGTGTTTGAACGCTGTATTTTCTTACTTGACTGATCCAATGCTGTTTAGCCTGTGAGCAGACTTGGGCACTTAAGAGGAAGAATCATTGGTGCTACCGACATTTGCTTTTAGGCAAAAGGTTTATGAGTAATGCTGCTTCAGTAATGGCTGCTGCTTTGTTTTCTGTGCTTTTCTTTACTGTCAGGATTACTATAAATCTGGGATAATCCGCTGCCCTGATGGAATCTCTATTCCGGAGCTAAGAGAAGCATGTGACTATCTCTGCATCTCCTTTGACTACAGCACTATTAAGTGCAGAGACCTGAGTAAGTATGGCTTTTATGATTCTCTTCATCAAACAGATATTGGTATAAGTCAGAGAAAGTTGTAGTATTTTATTTGCTAATATATGGAGAGTGCATCTTTGTAGTTAACGTCTTGTAATGTGTACTATAGTACTTGAGATGACTAGTTCGTTTGAATTGTTCTTAAATGCAAATTGCTGTGCAGATATTTTAATGGAAAATTGTCAGATACGATATTATGTTCCTGAGAAATTGGGTTGCCCTTAGCAAATACTAACCTGTTTTGCCAGCTTGTGTGCTGTGGATGCAAGCTGTCCTGTGCTGACCTTAATCTGTTCTTGTTTGCCTGTAGGTGCACTAATGCATGAGCTCTCCAATGATGGAGCACGCAGGCAGTTTGAATTCTATCTGGAGGAGATGATCCTGCCACTGATGGTGGCCAGTGCCCAGAGCGGGGAGAGAGAGTGTCACATTGTAGTGCTGACGGATGATGATGTGGTGGACTGGGATGAAGAATACCCTCCACAGATGGGAGAGGAATATTCACAGAGTGAGTCTACAACAAGTTCATTTGCAACCACCTACAGCTTTAATTAGTAAATAAGTATTTTAGAATGCTTTAAATATTTCCCTTTATTAGTCTACACTCAGTTTTAGTATTTACTGTTCATAAGACATTATTTAGATTCAGAAAAATACTCTTAAAGACAAACAGCAAGATCTTTGCACCTAAGACGGCAATCCAAGTGACAAAGTATTTCTAAAACTTTCCTAAACACTAATTTTCTTACACATTTTACAGCATATCTTTAAAAGAATAGACTTGAAGCTGGACTAACCTTTTTTTTAATTTCAGTTATTTACAGCACAAAGTTGTATCGTTTCTTCAAATATATAGAAAATAGAGATGTTGCCAAATCTGTTTTAAAGGAAAGGGGTCTGAAGAAAATCAGATTGGGCATTGAAGGTAAGATGAAGCACTGCATGTTAACGAAGCATTTAAGACAATACCTAACAAGATTGTTTTGTTTTGTGAGCAAATTGTATTTTTGTAGTTTTTTCTTCATCAGTGTATTAGTATTTTAGTACAGTAGAAGTTTTCTCTTTAAAGTTATTCAAGAATGTCTAGCTAACTTTAAACCAGGCAAAAGTATAAAGTTAATACTTCAGTAGTGACTGTGTGTTCAGTAATATCTGTGTATATGTAAGTGCAGTATTGAATTCGAATGATGTATAGTGAATTTAGGATTTTTCTGAAAATCACACAGGGAAACTAAACACTTTTCAATAAACATTCTTTTTAAGAACCTTGAATATCAGTTTTTAAACTTCAGCTCAGATCAAGACATTAAAAATAACTGATATAACAGTCATTCAAGTGGTTTGAGCTAATTTTAGGTTTATGACATTCAAAATGATTAGGGTGACAGATGAAAATCAAATGTCTCAAAAATGTAAGCTGTTACTTAAGGCAGTATGTGTTCTGTAATTTTCTGCTTTTTCTCTCCATTAACTGTTTTTAGCAGTATTTAATTGGTGTGGTAGAAAGGATTGAGATTATACATTTTTGAAAGTTTCAGCAAAGGTAAAACAACATTAAGTAATGCTGAAGCTACTATTTCTTTATTCAAAATATAGGTTACCCAACTTACAAAGAGAAGGTGAAAAAGAGACCAGGCGGCCGGCCAGAGGTCATCTATAATTACGTCCAGAGACCCTTCATCAGAATGTCTTGGGAAAAGGAAGAGGGAAAGAGTCGGCATGTGGATTTCCAGTGTGTGAAGAGCAAATCCATCACTAACCTGGCTGCAGCTGCAGCCGATATTCCTCAGGACCAGCTGGTGGTAATGCACCCCACTCCCCAAGTGGATGAGCTGGACATCCTCCCAATTCATCCTCCGCCTGGCAACAACGACCCCGATCCCGACGCCCCCTCACCTGCCCTCTGAGACTCGCACCTCAAACCATAGCATGCTGCAGAAAAGGGGCAAAAGTGGCACTGTAACCTTAATGCCTTTGCACTTCATCAGCAGCCTTAGAATCTGAAGGAGAACTGGTTTACCTTTACACCAAGAGGGATGCAAGCTTTTGGCAGCAGTGTATTTTTTTACGACCAAAGGAGTAAAGATGTTTTTTTTATTTAAATTGGTTTTTAAATTTAATTTTACCAACCCACTACTTTTGAATCAGTCCAACAGTATTAGTCTTTAACAGTTTGAGATCTTGCACAGTGTGGTGCTATTGTGTTTTGAGTTTGCTTTCACTTGCAAAATCTTGCTTTTCCTTCTGCTCATGCAGTGAAGCAGCAATAACACATGGGAATGGAGCACATTTGGGACAATGAATTCTGGTGTTGAACTGATGCGTTGGGTTTATTTTTTTTCAATCATCCTAATAAAAGGTGATGTTCGAGTGGGGAGCTGCGTCAGCATGGGGTGGCTGAAAAAGAACAAGAAAAGGTTGATTCCACTCTGACGAATAGGAGAAACAACAAACAACAAGGAAAATTTCACACTAAAAAAACAAGAAAAGTTTCAGTTGTTGAGCCTTCTTCAGGTGGAAAGAAACATCTGAAGAAGGCTCAACAACTGAAACTTTTCTTGTTTTTTTTTAGTGTGAAATTTTCCTTGTTCTATTACAAGGTGACCCAATCAAATAAGCGTGTCACCTACCCTGGCCCATCTGTTTTAAGTTTATTCACTTTCCAGGGTGTATTCAGTTCAATGTGTAAATTTCCTGCAATCAGGATCCTTTTGTTCAAAGCTTGAAACCATTGTTTAATAAACAACTTAAAATGACTGTTTTGTGTGGTATTGGTTATTACAATGTTTGCATTTCTGGTGATTATCATAGGAGCAACAGCTGTTTGAGAGGTCTTGTTACATTCTGAGTGGTGTACTGCAGCATTCTTTTCAGTTAAATTTCAGAGAACTGGCCACTTTTTTTCGGGAGCATTATAGTGCCACTTCTCAAGTTTTACATCAAGACAGTGCTTTGTCAGTACTGTTCTTGGGCTTGAAGTTTTCCAGGTATGATATTTAGTGATTTTTTTTATATGTGAGGTCCTGACATACAGAATGAATAACTTAATAGTTGTCTTAGCATTCACTTTTTGTCTTTCACCATCATTAGTGCTGGGTATTTGACTGGTTGTCCTTCAACATTAGTGAGGCATAAGATGTTCCTATGCTTTCAGGTCACTTAATCTATGATCTATGATTAAGAAACGGTTAGGTTTGTAGAATACAGATATGTAATGTCAGGATAACAGGAGATCCTGGGTAATTGCACTTCTAAATTGGGGTAATTTTAGTCAGAGGGTGAATTGCAGTGGATGTCATCTGTATCCAAGCATGCAGTAGACCATGCACAGAGAAAGCAGACCACACATGTGGGGAAGTAGACCACAACTTCATATTGTAACTTAAGGGAGAAAGCTGTTTGTGTATCCTAGCAACCGGCATTCAGTCACAGGAAAAGGTATTGGTTTAACCCACCTCTTGGAATGAAAGGATGTGGCTCGTTTGAAGGATTGGAAAGTCAATGTTTTATAATGTCAGTGTGACGTAAGATAGTGGTCTTGATGCTATGCTATGAATCCATCATTTCAGCAGTGTTTTTAAAATAGAACTCCAAATGAAGCTTGTAAGCTTTTTTTATCCTGTATTTTGACACGATATGTGCTCGTCTGTTGAACTGTATTACGGACAGCAGGATTTCCTTAATCTTCAGAGGAAAGTATAAAATAACCATTGCTGGCACAAAGTGTTATATATTAATATCTTAGATATTTGCTGATTTTATGTCTGTGACACTTATTAGGCCATACAAATGGTTAAGTCTAGTTAGTTTTTTTATGATTGTTACTAGTCTTTGGGAAAATAATGCTTGTGGAGTGCTTTTTAGAAAGGTAAACTTTAACTGCCACTTATATTAATTGGAGCATTGGTACAAGAATATATATGCCCCAGAAGCATGCTTTTCTAGATTTTATACTCAGAGTTGAAAAAATTACTTGAAGAAATTGGGGATAATTGTGACAATTACAAATAGAATGCTCAAATAAATTACCTTGCATATAGTATTCTAAATCTTGATACAGAAATCACTTGCTCATACTTTTCATGTTTGTATTGACCATTAGTCAGCAGAGCAAATGGTTATGGAAAAGAAAGGTTGAAATTTGAGGGGTTAAAATGTAGAGAGATTCTGCTTAAGCAAATCCTAAAATTAATACGGTGCTGGATTTATAAAATTCTACAAATTCCATATAAACACAGTTTCTAACATGAACAAGGCTTAAAAATGGCGATTTTTGATTTTCAGCATTCTGTGGGGCTGCTCTTAGCAGTTGATTAGATGTGGGATGTGTTGTCATTCCGCCAGCTGTCACAAACCTTTAGTGAAAGTAGTAGTTGTGAAGCAAAGCTGAGGAAATATCTCATTAGTTTTCTGAAGTGAAACTCCCTTCAGCACATAGAATGAAGCTGTTTAGTTTCTGACAGTTTTGAGAAGGTTTAAAAAGTTTTGTTTCTGAAATAAGTTAAATTGAATTTTAAATACACATAATATTACTGCAACAGCACCGTATGCGTTTTCTGATGCTATATTAACCTCATGTGATTTCATTTCAGGCGTCAGTGTTGTTGAGATGCTGCATATGTGATGGAAAAAATCTTCCCACGTCTTAGTTAACTATTGATTTATAATCAAAGTGCTGCCAAGCTCTGGTCTGCTACTAGGTGACAAAGAACACAACAGTGACAGATTTTTGTGCTGGATTTGAAGAAGGACCATTTTCATCAGCATGTTGTTAACTAAAACATGTCTGAAGTTTTTCTTAAAATAGGAATTGCAGTTGTGTTAACTGCTGTTGTAAAGCCTTGCTGCCATTTCACCGCCTGACAAATGATTGATTATTGATGCATGTCACTGAATAGTCAATATCAGTTACATTTCCACTTGCCTGCTTTCCATTTATTGCCATGTATGACTACATATAAAGTTAAACAATTTTATGCGATAGAAAGGAAGGACATTAGAACAAAAACAAGAGAAACAAGACTTTTATTTTAAAAATATTTCACTGCTAATACAATACACTTTTACCATATTTATAGCAAAGAATTCTTACATGATAGAATAAACAGATTTATGATACAACTTTTTTTATAAGAAATATTTAACATGTAAATCCTTGTAGTGTAAAAACACCAACCACTAAAACATAAATGGCATTCAAAGAAAAGCTTGGGATGATACCAGTGTATGATGAAACATATAAAACCTTGAGAACTGTAATGCCTGCTGTGGGTAATAGAAGCAATTAACATCTGGCTGATCAAGACTGCAGAAGGGTTGTGAGCTTGATCCCAGCATCCTGAATGAGGTTTTACGCTGTTGCATGTCACTTATATCCACGCAGGGTTCGTCTAGGCCTTTCTGATATGGCTTCCTGGCAGTCGTCACAGACAGCAGATGTGAAATTGTCACCGTTGTCACTGAAATACCCCCCCGGACCCCACTCCACTTTTCCACGGGGGCTCTCACAAGGGCCAAGGTAAGTCGCTGAAATCCACCGGACCGCCCAGTCCAGCGTCGGCTTCCAAAAGACTCATGATGACGGCCATAGCTGCCTCATCGTTGCTGGGGCTGCTGGAGCCTTGGTCATTGTCTATCATGTCTATACCAATGTGAGAGTTATCACCTGTCACGCAGGAGAGGAAACAAGAAATGAGCCGTGCTTTGATCTGACACTAGAGAGAAAATACTGAAATACTTGGAGTAGGATAAAATCAATTTGAACAGCCAAAGGATCTCTAAACACCCCTCAATTGAGCTCTTAGAAACTACACTAAAATTCACTTACTGGTTCCAAATAAGTAAATGCATAATATTATATAACCCAATTAAGCAATTAACAATGAAGTACAAAAAAACTGACAATTCAGTCATGAAACATATTTTTTCTGAAAAAACTGCAATTTGCACAACTGTGCAGATAAGAGTTGAGATTAGAGACCATTAAGAAAGTGTAATTTTATAATGATAATAGTTTAAAATAAAGCAAATCCAAGGTTTACAGTTTCAGGAAAATATACTGTGCTGACAAATAGCATAGGAAAGGATTAATATGGAAGCAGTACAGAATAGTCAAAGTTTAAATGTACTTTGCTTGAAGCATAGAACATAATTGTCCCCAGATAAATCAAATCAAAGTCTAGAAAGTAGAAGCCAGAACTGGTTTAGTCAATTAAGAAAAATATAAGGAGAAGCACATTACTTTAAAAGTGATTTAAAAAAGTAAAGAATTCAGTTTAAGAAAAGGAATAGAATGAATTTCAAGTACAGTTAGAGATACTAGGCTAAGAAAGGGAAAGGGAGGGTACTGGTAAAATCAAGCCAGTGACCTCCTCAAAATCATGAACACAAGCACAAGCGCTTCTAAAACAGAACCAGGGCATTTTTTACCAAAAGCATAACAGAAGTGTGGAGTAAATTACTCAGCTGATACCCTGGCAGGTCCATTCGATACTGACAAACAGGCTTGACGAACCCCCTCTTACTTGAAACTTGAAGATTTTAAGTGTATTTTGTATTAGTTTTTTTTTAACCTGATCATTTTGCCATCTGAATTGTCAGTGGCAGTTGCTGCGAGTCTACAAGGTCACTTCTTCCCACAAAGTAACGGTCGAGTCCACACTTACTAAGTAAGGAGTTGTCTGAGTAGGGGTAACCTATTGAGTCTGGGCCTTGTCCAGGCACTAATCCTGCCGAGGGAATGTCTGGGGTTCCTCCGTTGTGTATCTGCAAAAAGCAATAGGGAAAGAATTAATATCTGGCTGCCCATAATACCTACATTCTCCACACACATTATGTGATACCACAAGCGTACATGAAAGGAATCCGGTATTTGCAATGATTCAAAATCATTATTGAATTAAGGGGAATAGAAAAGATATTGCTTGGTTCCCTTTTGTTACAGTATAAGAAGATGTACAGAAGAACAAATACTTTCAAAATCGAGTAGGCGGCTGCGTCAGCATGTGTAGGCTGCAAAAATACAAGGAAAGGTTTATTCCGGGCCGAAAAGAGAAGAAAAGAGACACAGCGTTTCGGCTGTGGAGCCTTCTTCGGGTTCTTCTTCACACACCCGAAGAAGGCTCCACAGCCGAAAGTTCTCTTTTCAGCATGGAATAAACCTTTCCTTGTTACATTCCAAATTATATTTCTGGTTATCTTGCAACTTGCAAACTTTTTAGCTTTTTAAGAGACTTACAGACACAGTTGAGAAGTAAACTTTGTTTTTAAAGAGGCACAGATCCCCTGTCAAGAACCACAACAATATGGTTCTTTTCGGAAAGAACATTCAGCTATTAAACAAAAGACTTAAGCTCTCGATATTCTGCTCTTTTTTTCAGGTCTTTTGTAGATCTCGTAAGCCCACCCCCCACGGCGCTGCGTGCCTCTGTGTAAATGCAGACTGGAGACTGGAGGTGTGTGACAACACAGGCCACGGGGGCCCTCCCTGCCAGAGCCGCTCTCACCTTCTTGCCCCCTGGGGAGGAGGTGTCCGGAGGGGGGGTGCTGGTGATGTTAAGCGGGCTGGATCCGCAGCTGGAAGGCGATGACCCTCTAATCCTGTTGAAGCCAAAGGCCAGCTCGTTAAGACAGAACAGCACGCCACCACCCCTGAGGGGACGAGTGCAGCCAAGACGATGAGGTTCGACGCACAGGAAGTCTGTTATAGCAGGTCGGTGCTGTTATTTTTTTTTAATTCGTGTAGATCTTTGCTGGAAAGTGTGCGCCTGTACCTGCTAAATAGTATGGGTGAGATACACTCTTTGATTAACCTTGCTGCTTACAGAAACAACTATTTGTGTGGGGGTACAAAAACGTTTACAAATGTGTTTTCTTTGGGGAAAAAAAATAAATGTGCAATCGCAAACGTTAAGGTTTGTTAAGCTCCAGTAGCTGGGCCAGTGCACTGGTCTCTCCTCCAGCCTGAGGCCCTTGACTCACCGCTGTATCTCCATCACTTCCTCGGCGATCATACGGCCGATCTTCCCGGCTCCGGCTCGTGTGCCGCCCGGGATTCCTGGGACCGTCTGCAGAGCTCGCTTCCCTGCGCCTGGAGCCAAGCAAGACCCCCGTCATTCTTCCGCTAAATTCAAGCCCTCTCGGAAAGCTATACAGGACTAAACATCTTACACTTGACTCCCCCAAAAACCTGACAAAAGTCCATTGTACATACAACTCATAATACATATATCTTCAAATTCAAACAAGACTTTACCCCATTATTCAACTGAGCACCAAACCCATCTGAGCTAAACTTTATCAAAATATTTCTTTGAAACACTCTGGTAAAGCCGTGGCAGTTCAGATGTGTACGCACAGGATATTGATATTATTATATGGAGAATTTAAATTATTTCTCAATTTTCCCTCCTTTAATCACATTTTAATCCAACTTCCAGTGAGAATATCAACTTAACAGAGAGGTTTATGCTGACGAGTTGTAAATAAGAAGATTAAGTTTCCTGGCTTTATATTAATTTGCAATCAGTGTTGCTTTGCATCACAGTCCCTGGTGGGACAATATCACCTTCCCATGAGCTGAAACTTTCCTCATCACCAGGAAGCCTGTCTTGGTTTGTTTTGCGCTAAAGGTGATAATAGTGGCATTCATGTTTGCAGGTATTCTACAGATGTAAAAAATTGTCTTTCTAAAATAAAATACAGAGATGCACTTTGTGAATGTTTCATAAAATACCACAAGAGATGCGTAAAAAAAGCACCATTGATGTGTGTGGTTTCAGGCAGTGAAGATGCCTTCACTTCAACTCTATGTGGTACTGCAAAAAGCAAAGCCCAGAAAAATGGAAAAAGGTAAGGGATTCAAATTAAAACCTGAACAGTTTCCATGGAGCTCAATGTGACATGTTAAAGGTGTTGAAATGGGAGAATATGAGAAAATTCTTTACATTAGCATGTGCCTCACCTTATCAGCCATGTTTACTGTAGACATATTGTAATATAGCTAGGAACGGTTGCTTTAAAAACCCTTTATCAGCAATGTGGGATGACTCAGAACTGCCTTTTAACCATCTCGATACATCTGAAAGGGAAATGAAGAAAAGCAGGAGTCTGCATACCTTCTCCTGCTTGTAGTACACTGTCCATACTGTGGGGGGAAGCAGAGAGCTGTGGAAAGCTTGGGTCTGTTGCATCAAGCGTGCTGCCACTGAAACAACAAGCTGTTCTCAGTATTCGCATCTGTAAGTCCATATCGTCACACAAATACAGCCACCTTACAGAAATGCTTACTCAAAATGCCGCAACACTATTGCCAGGATATTATAGCTGATTAATACATTTATTTCCACAGCAATGCAAATGTCGTAAAGTTCTACATTAAATAACAAAATCCACATTTGGATTTACGGTGAAAAACAATCTCTCGGCCATTACTAGTAGTCCTTCCACAAATAGCCTCAATCACATTTCAGTAAACATCAACAAATACCTTTCTTAGAACAAACGAGTGACTTGTGCACTCAAGTGAAGACAGCTGCCTGCTTTGTGATTGCTCTCAACAAATCCATGTGTCTGAATGTATTTGAGGTATAAAAAATGTTATCACTTACGAAACAACTGTGTTTGTAGAAACAATATATTCAACTTCTTTGGTCCAGGGATTCATGAAACTGAACCAGCGGCTTCTCAGAGTAATGAAAGAGCCGTCTTTAATTTTGAATTTGTAACAATTCGTCGTTATTTTTTCTCTCGTCTGCAGCACTGAAAAAAACACACACAATCATAAATGAACTGTATATTAATTCATTTTTAATGATTACATTTGCCCGTCAGGTTTATTATCAGTTTGGTCAATGTAAAATACCTAAACACCTTTTTTCACAGAGAAAACCATTTTAGAGATTTTCAGGAATTTACTATGTTTGATAAATATTTTCTGATCTTTTGATTTTTTGCTGTACCTTGTCGATGGCACTCTGCCAGGTGACCAATGTCATCTTGGTGGAAATATTCATAAAACGATGTGCCCAGTAGCTCCTGGGGTAAATAGGCAAGAATTGCTGTTGCCCTAAAAGAAATTAGTCAGTATGCTGTTATGATATTAGGATGAGTGGTTACATTTACTTTTATACAAGACTATTTTGAAAGCAAAACATTCTAGATTTATATGTATTTCCAACATATTTTCAAGTTACAAAGGAATTGTATGCTTGAAATTCTTAAACCTGAAAAGAAAAGCATTTGGAGGCAATGTGCTATCTTAAAATCTCTTATTGTGTCGAAGGAATAATCTCAGAGTCTATACTGCATCGTCTTCACTTTTTTTCTCTGCTGGAAGGACTGCACTGCGGTTAAGATGGGGAAAATTAACAGCACTTTACATGAGCACAAGCTGTCACTCTAATTTGAGTTTCAGTCAGTCTTGGGACTTGTTGAGGTCACCCAGGTTAAAAGCAAAATCCCATTAGGAAGGTACGGTAATCCTTTGAACTCTCATTAAAACCTTGTTCATTCTGCTAAAGAGGGAGGGAAATAACGAGTCTTGATTTCCCAAAGGGTTGATGAGGATGGTGACAAAAAAGCCCCCCCCCCGAGACGCTCAGTTTTGATTTAACCGTTGAGTTCTCACCTCTGATCTACGAATACAAACTTCCCGTCTATCGCGTGTCGAGAGACGTATTCTGTGGGCTTTACCCGAATGTCTCCATTCATCGGCTGGGGTACTATGTGGGGGTGCAGGCGTCCGATTGCTACAAGGCAGCTGAGATTGCATCCCTCGTTGTCTGGTTCGTTGTCTTCATCCAAACCCATTTTTGTAGGCGGCCAGCTTTTCAAGTAGCCAGTGCTGTGGATTGTGCAAAAGCTTTTGCGGTCTGCTGTAGTGGAAACAGACATAACAGCCAGCAGGTTTTAAAGTCCATTTCCGGAAAACAAAATCTAAAGCCTACACTACAAATACAAGAACTAGGAGAATAATTAAATACATTTCAGAACCCTCAACATTAATGGGAAATAATTCTATGGTGCAGACAATTTTTTAATAAATTGGCTGGGATAATGGCCTTACCTTTCTTTTTTGAACACGTGGAGGGGAATTCCTTATCTTCTACTTTGACCGAAGGCCTGTTGCATTTCATCCTGCAGAAGAAGGAGCGTCTTGCACCAGCACACAGTCTAGACGGGCCGGGTGTAATGTCCGTCTTCACCGGAAGGCCAGCTATGAGTACAAAACGTCGTTAGGGTACAGCACTGGGTCCCCACAGGATGTAAAAACATCAAGTCTACAGCCGCTAACTTTACCAAAGCTGTCATTTAGTTCTACACACAGGTGGGTCCCAGCTGACAAACTGGTGCAAGCCACTGCTCTAGCATTAGGACAGAGCTCCAGATAAGCTAGACACACTGATAGGAACTAGTGAACCCAAAGACCAAATTGTGGTGGTATGGTGGGATTTTTAAACAGTATTGTGAAAAACTAAGAGAAAATAAATCCCTCATTGTTACTGTTGCAAGGTCAGCACAAACATTGTTACTGTTACTTGCCACTCTATGAAATGAGTGGCAGGTCACAGTGGGCCCGAGAGTAGGATTTAAACATTGACCAACTCACAGGATAAATCACTAGTTAGCTTTAAGAAATCATGTAGTGTATACAATAAATCACACCATTGAGTGTATGTACTGTAGTGTGCTGCAACTTGCACAAACAGAAAACAGAAACACTGTACTTTTGGCATCTATGAGTCTTTCCCGTGGTGCTGTGTCTGATGAGGACAGCTGCTCCTTTACTTTGGCAATGTCTTTAGGATGCAGGTAATCGAACAAACTCTGACCTATAAGGTCATTCTGCATGAGGGAAAAAAAAAGACAAGTCCAATTAGTACTAACCATACTGTATATACTTACAATTCACAAAAACAGCCTTTCTCAACATAAGCATTTGCTAAATTGAGCTCCTGATTTCCTACCTGTTTCTGGATTTTTCAGTGGCAAAGTAACATTCCATTTCCACCTCTCCTGTGGCTACATTCAGAAATTAGCCCTCTTGTGCATGACTGATTCTGTTCACTTTTGTATACATTTTTGCTTATCCCACTGTTAGTCGATACGTTTTACCTTTAAGCAAATACCTCTACTATTTGTCACATTGGATTGTGAAAGGAAATATACAATACCATCTAATAAAAATAATAACATTATATGTCCAAACCTAAGGCACTAGTTGAGCCTACCTTTGCCCCATGTTTACAACAACATGCAAGGTAAAATCTGCATGTTACTAAATCATATAGCTGTGTGGAAATTATAATACAAGTACTGTATCACCTTGAACCGCTGTTCTCATTTACAATATAGTTGTGCTTTGTCTACAATAAACAGACCAAAAAACAAACATCTATTGCAAAATTGTAAACAAACAACGTCTGTGATTTAAAAAAGAAAGCTAACATTTCAATCTTTGTGTCCTAGTAAAATTGTATTAAAAATGCAAGCATCATCGTGAGAGATTGAGGCCAGTTTCTTATTGTGTAGAAACCCCAACTTTGGACAGTGCTGACCCCACATTTCTTGCCTTTTCAGTGAACATACCTGGCTGTAGTTTAGAATTTTATAGACCGACTCCGATACAAACAGTATCTTGCCGCGATCACAGCCCACAACAAACAGAAAGCCATCAGCAGCCTGTGGGAAAAGCAGTGATCATGTCAGAAAGGTTCTGACATATTCTCCGTCGCCACACATTTGTGAAAAGAGACATTGGACCGTGCACCCATAGCAAGCCTACCCTCAGTATTAGGTGTTTGAGCTCATCGTCCGATAGGAACGCGGGTTTGTAGTTGGCTTCTGTGTATGGATTTGCAGCACCTGAAGCATAAGAAGATTGGAAAATTATTTCACGTATCCCTTCAAATCCAGCTCCAGTGTGATTTTTAAGTTTGGTCATTGCATCATTTCCAGAGGTGCAAACATGGACTGGAGGTAACAAGAAAAAACAGCCATGTACTGTGATTCAAAACAAATTTGAAAAAACTGGATTGTTAATGATTCAGAGATTTATGAGATGGGTTATGAAATGGATCAGTTAAGACTCTAGTAGGAGATATTGGGGGAGGTAGATTATTTTTACTACTCAATAATAATAATAATAATAATAATAATAATAATAATAATGATTTTTATGTTATTTTTCCTCTATCTTCATTTCTCCCTAACCTCAAACTGGAAAGGAATGTGAATTAGCAGACTTTATACTTATTCATATTTAGAAGTATTCTTATAATACTTGATGTTTTGCGATGACTTACAACTTAATTTCTGATCATCTTTGCATGTTTCTTAAAAATAACAAAATACAAGTAATAAAAAAAGAAATCTAGAAACTGGCTGTCTGTACACTGAAATGTAACCAACAATGGCCCTTGGTTTCTCACCTCTTAGTGTCTTCATATGTTGTACAGCCATTCGTAGCACCGTAAGTTTGTCCAGTTTTCTGGACATGGCGTTGCAAGTAGGCACTAAGGAGGCTAATTCGTCAATAAAACTGTTCATTTTATCTCGGCGCCTCTTTTCAATTTGACTGTGAGCTTCCCTGCACCAAAATTAAAAAAATCAAAAGTCAGGTTTTGATTAACCAAACTGGTGGTCAGGCAATCAGGTGCAATAATCTCTTTTACAGGAGAGACTGGACCAAACAGACAAAGTACAAACACCAAACTTAAATAATAATAAGACTTTTGTCAGGTGACATACTGTACTTGGGACCTTCATTACTAAGATCAAACTGTTATCAACGTCTAATCGCAGCGAGGTAAATGCTTATTTATAAAACAGTTGTAAACCCCATCAATAAATTGATCGTAAATCCTAAGCAAAGGTTTGGCATTTGTACAGTACCTTAAAATCAAGTTTTTATAATTTTTATATTAAAGAGTTGTCCCAATACAGAACATTTATTCACCAGAATTATGGCAAGAAGACAAGGCAGCATCTTCCAGTTATAATAAAAGCAAGGTCAGGAAGAATTTTTTTAAAGATCTCTCCCCACCCACACCACCCCAACCCTAATGTCAAGGAGAGTTAAAAATAAACAAACATACCTGGCATTCTTGATTCGACCTTGCTGATCTGTACAGTCCCTGTAAGCAAAAGGGGAGAAGTATAATACTGAAGAGATCTCCATTATTGATGTTTTATACAATGTAGGCTGTAAGGGAAAACTGTTCCAGCCCCAGTTTCTAAAGCGCTTCATCCAGTACATGGTCACGGGAGAGCTGGAGTCAAGCAACAGGCATGAGGCGGGATACACCCTGGGCAGGACGCCAGTCTGCGACAGGGCACACCAGGGCCAATATTACAGAAGCCATTTACGTGTTCACCCCTAAATTAAGCCTGGCCACTTCTTGACAGTATAAAAATGAAAATAATAATAATAATAATAATAATAATAATAATAATTGCTTACACATATAGCGCTTTTCTGGACACTCCACTCAAAGCGCTTTACAGATAATGGGGACTCCCCTCCACCACCACCAAATCTTTAAACAGCTACATTGACAACTATTGCAGTATTACTGTTGACATGTATTAATATAGAAAAGTGACGTAATGTGAAATGTATACAGTCTACAGTTTTACTTGCCCTTTTAATGTAATGAATATCTTTAGCTATCTTGTAACAACAAAAAATGCTAAATGTTTACTGTACCTTCCTAGTTGTTTGTCCTTGTCTGTGTCCATACTATCCCTAAAAGAAATCCAAGAGTGCACACGTTGGCATTTTTGAAACACGGAATAAGAGAGAGAACAAGCTGCAGAGGTTTGCTTGACTTTTGATACAAGAGCTGATGAACATCTGATGTGCTGGATGCATGTGGATCAATTTAAAAAATGTCCAATTAATCCTTTTCGTGTAAAAACACTTCTTGTATGTGAAATGCAACACCCTATTAGTAAGACAAAAATCTAGCACCTATATTTTACCCACAGTTGCCATTTCCTCTGCATTGACTTCACCAAGATTGGAACCACAAGAACATATGTGATCTTCACACTTTCTAGGCTTGACAGTGTGACAGGCATGAAGATTTGCAAGAAGGGACATTGCTTTCTGCTGTACAGAAAAGAAGTGGGTCGGTCCCAGGCAGAAAAATATTGATGGTTGAACGTTTGCAACTTTTTACAAACTTTAAAAGGTTTTCGGTATAATGTTTTTCACTACAGTGAAATGTATCCTAATAATCACCATCTAATTTTGAAACCATAGAGTAGAAAAAAATTGTTGAACATAAGTTCCTGTGCAAATATCTAAATTATTTCCAAAATCAGATTCACACCAAACGTTTTATTTGTAAAACAAATGCACAGTTGTTAACAGTCAATTGAGCAAGTCACTAACAAATTTCTTAATTCCTGCAAGCAGGGCACGTATTAAAATAGATGTTTCAAATACTGAAAAAGTCAGTGTAGCAGATTAGGGTAATAATATTAATTTCTATAAGTCAAAGTCAAATACTGGGTAAACCTATTTCTTTTGTAATGTAATAATATTAAAACTCGGCTCATGAGGTATTGGTTAAGGTTCTCAAACAGATACATTATATGTCCATTAGAGTGACTTAGACAAAGAATGGACAGCACCACTGACTTGCTTTACGATTTATTACAGAAACAGTTTTAAAAAGAGACTGTTTCTTCAAGTAAAAGCCTTGCAGTCACGTTCACTGACCTGTTCTTCTCATAATCTGTTTTTCTTTCAGCATCCATAAAAAAGCATGATTTCGCTAATGAAGGGGAACTTAACCTGGAAATGTGACCCTGAAGCCACAGTGCTTGGTAATCATGCTGTCTGAAATCTGTGGCATATGATCTGAGGGGACACAATTTTTTTTCTGGAACTTCAGAAAACAATAGCAGGTACATTTTTATTGTAGTCCTCTTGCCTCTAAATCACATTTACTAACCAACAGAACTATTGGCCACATTACACCTTCTAAACAAAATGAAATTTCCACCAGAAATGTGACTTAAAGGTGTGAGATCTTACAACTGAGAGGCTGTCAGTTTAGCAAATAGACAATGCCAATCTTTTGCCATTCAAACATGTCTCATGAAACAATTCTAATACAGTCTCAGGTAACGCCTAACCATGTGTGGCTTTAGATATGAGGGGCTAAGGGTGCTTTGAATACAGGTTAAGGCCTGTTTTTTGTTATCACTCTTTCTATTTTAGAATCAGTAAATTATATTCATACTTACTCAAAAGAAAAGCCATCAATTCTGAAAAGGCAAGGACAGCCATTTGTTACTCATTCATAGGATATTACCAATATTACTCACTGCATATAAATGCGATCTAGCTATCAAAAATCTTAACTGTACAATTTTAATTCCATTGCACAAATTGCTTTTTTTAGCAGTGTAGGCTGAGTTAATGAAAATGCACTCATGTTGATTTAATTTTTAGTTTGACAAAGTGAGAAAATATTTTGTATTGTACTGAAAATACTTAACAATAAAAAACAGAATGTTTTAAAGCATTAGCTAATATGCATCAAGACTTGGGAAATTAAAAAAGTAAATATTAAAAACATGTTTTGCTTTGAAATTTAAATATCACTTGCCTCTATACACTGAAAACATGAACTCCACTTATATTGATACCAAAATTCAATTTTCGAACCAAGGTTTTCTTGCTGAATTTCAAGTTGAAAACTTGTCAAAGTATGACGTTTTTGGGATAGGAAGTAAATTTTGAAATAAAAGGAAGAGTGTACCACAGCTACATCACCTGCCACATTCTGTTGACTCTTAAAATCAACACCAAATCATGAAGATGCTGAAGGGCGCACGCTTCATTTTTTAACAGCCAACTTTCAGCTTCATTTTTTATCAAAGACAAATCAATTCGACAGCAAAGGTCTGAATTGTTGCTGCGGACAGTTAGAGCTGATTCGATTTGTAAAACTCTCAGGAAGCAGGCCGGAGTCTCCTCTGCGCGTGTTTCAGGTGACTGGGGAGGAAGCAGGGCCGGAGGGAGCCGCTGTACTTACTGGTAGTCTGTGGAACTGCCCTTCCTCTTGCGTGTGAAGTCCATGCCGGGGGCGCTGAGAGAGCTGCTGATGAGGTCAGTGGGTCCCGGGGACATGAACTCACTCATGGTTGAAGAAATGTCCATTCTTTGGTCTGCCATTAGATCTGAAGCGATAGATATATATATATAAAAAAAAACAATCACGTTTCCCCAAAACGAATAAACTTGCAACTGTGTGAACATCTGGCAGAACTTCAGCAGGGCAAAGGACCAAAAAAACCCTCACCCAGGTGTCTCTCAATAAGGTAGCAACTTTTAGCATGCTTTTGCTTCCTACAATTAGGAGACAAGACTTTCCTTGTAAATTCAGCCGACTACCAATTCCTCTCACCAGTGCACACCGACACCCGTTACCCCAGACACACAGACACACGGAGAGGTTGTGCCAGTGGCCAGATGCAAGAGCAAGAAGCCTCTAGACTGGATCGATCAGTTACCAGCAGCCAAATGGGCTCCAAAGGGCACTAGATAACACCTTTCTGTTTTTAACTTCCATGTTCTTTTGCTAGCTTTAACATTTGCTAGTGGTAATGTTTAGTAAGATGTATAGTTGTCAGAAAATTTGAAAATTGTGTTATAGACCGAATTAAATTAAAATTCAGTCATGAAATGCATCTGTACAAAAAGTGTGTACAATTCACTTTAGTATTTCTAAACAGCACTTGAAATAAAATAATCCACTTTACTGTACATTACATCTTTCTGGCACAGTCTGGTCAAATACAACAGACATATCAGTGCTATTTTTATTTTTGTCTTTTAATGCAAAATGTATGGCACTGGGACCTTGACAAACCAGTACAGTTATAGATCACTCCCCCGCCTCTTGTTCAGCCAACTCCAGAACCTCTGATCGCAGCAGTGCTTATCAACTTATCAAAAACTCACCACAATGTTCATTCAAGCCTGTTCTCAAAGCATCTCACTTCATTCTGTCTGAAAGGAAAAACAAGAACACTCACTGTGGACATGGCTTTCAGCTCAAGAAGCACAGCAGCTCATTATTTTGATTTTGAGAGCTCATCGGCTCCAGCAGGACCTCGGAAGATGTTTTTTAACATTAACAGGTACTACCGCTCTTTCAAAAGAAACCTCCGGCGTTTATGAGAAAGTAACAGCTAATATTATTCCTGCACTCCTCCCTCCATACACTTCTACATCCCACACAAGCCCTGAAACAGTCAGGGGTGCCCTTATGAAAGGAGGTCATGCAAAGCCTGAAAGAACGGCAAATTAGTGCAAAATTCTTCAAAAGAAAAACTGGAAAGGTGGTGTTATAAAGTGTGAGCAGTAAAATAATAATGCAACAGAAAGAAAAAGAATATACTAATTTGGGGTATGTGAAAGCACCACACTAAGTAACTGCTAAAACTGGCAGAATGCACCTTAATCTCTTCAGAATCATACTAGTGTTTTATGACCCATGTGGTATTCACATTGCTGGCTATTGAAAAGGTCCACTTCTACTTAACTATTTGTACAGCAGGTTCCAATAACCTACTGAAAAAAGATGTTCCAAAATTATTACCTGAAAAAACAAAGACTTTCTACGGATTAATTTAAAAACAGGCTCCTAAAGTTTTATTAGCCTTAGTCCTTCTCATTAGTGCCATATACTTTCCAAAGCAAGTCAGTAATTCCTGACTGGAAGGCTGGCTACCTACTGTACCTCAGATGTTGTGGCCAGGCTGGCACAGTATACGCAGCTCTTGAAACCTACCCCTGAAGAGTACTTTGTGTTTCAGATTTTAGACTCCCGAAGTTCTTATTCTGCTGTTAAAGTATAACTAAATGTAAAAAGCTTCAACGACAAACAGGTTAGGGTTTTCGTGCTTGTGCATTGTAGATCACACATCTGATATTAGAAAATTATCATCCTACATATCATTATTTAAATTTAGCTATAACTGTGGTCTGCAAAGTAGTATTATTCACGTTAAGGAGTTTATTTGTGGTTGGCTGAGGCTTGTCAAATAATTACTTGAATGGAATTAAATCAGAAAAAAGAGCAGTGACTAAAGCACCATTTAATCGATTTTTGTAAACACGCAAAACACATAATTTCTTCTATTAGGACCAAAGTAATCAAATTTACTGAAGAACGTTCTCAGAGATCCAGCATCACAGAACACAGTCTGTGACTGATTCCCCTGTCGTTTTTAGATTTCACAGAGGTAAAAAAACACTATTGATCACTAGATCTCAATTTCTCAAACCAAACTAGGAAACAGAATTCTTTCCAGGTCCTCCTTCTCCTGAGTGAATTAAAATTATATTTATGGGATTTGGTTTCCACACAGGTATTACATTTACTACTTATAAATCTATCACTGTCATTGTGGGAACTTAGTGCTCTCTGTTCTCAGAATAGAATGAAAGGAATTTAGGGAAATGAAAAGGACTGCTTCCAGAATTTTAGGCTTGAAAAAACAAAAAGCGTGCAGGCGTCTATGTACTGTAGCAAGTAATCAGATTTAGACAATAAATATGGAATTCTAAACAGGTGTAACAGATCCTATACTCATAATGTATATTGTATATCTCAATCTTAATTAATCATTTTAAGGATATTTGTACATAAGTTTCCTCTGTAGGAATTTGTCTTGAAGTGCTTGGGCTAAGATATTTTTTTACAACCCACCGATGATGATATTCCATGTTATTTAAATAATACATCTAAATGAATTGCGGGCACTAACTTCACTAAGCCAACTATGTGTCTTTTTTCCTGCTAATTTTCTGTGCTCTGCTTGCTTTTTGTCCTGTTATAAATGAAATGAATGTATTTATTTTTTTACAAACCAGAAGAGTAGATTGAAACAAAACCTCTAGCTTATACTCTTTACATCTCAACACTGATTCTCTTCAATTCACATGTGCTCAAATCAGACCAGACAAATTAAATGTCCTTGGTTTATTTTAAACTGTTGTTGGCCTTCCTAAGAAATCCTTATTTCATCACCCATGGTGTAGAATGTCTTATTATGCCAGTTTGTCAGCACTGTCAAAAACAAGAGTGGTATGCATTTAATGGCCATCCACTAAAAAAAAACATTCAAATTGTACACATAATTCACTTCTCTCCTAATGGACAAAGCTGCCTCATTTGTAGCTGTTTTCAACTGCTATTTTAGTTCTCTGAATAGCCTTTCACTTAACACGAACCTAACACCAGCAAACAGTGACCCAGTAGGGGAGTCAGATCAGCTAATTAATGGTCCTCATTTGGTTGCCAGGATACCTCAAGGACCTGCTTCACGATGTCCCATCTAGGCCACTTCCGGATTAAACTAGCCCGAGACAGAGAATAGACGATCTGAACCATACCACAGACTATTAATATTGATTGGGGAAGGTTTTTGCACTTTCACAAAGCAGTTCCTTGCTGAGCTGCAAAAGGGGATGGCCAAGTAGCGTCCTGCTGGCCTGCGGAGCTGTAATATCAAAGAATTGAGGCGACAAACGCCAGAGACAGAAGGCTGCTCTGCTCATCTCCCGGTTTTCTATGAGGCTTGGTAATGTGACTGTGTTAATCATGCAAAGAGCTAATCTCATGATCACTCTTGCACCTCACAGAGAGAGAGAAATTAGGGTCAGGGTGAAAGTAGGTCAGTTGAATCAGCCTGTTTGCTTAAAAAGCAAATAAAGTTCAGGTTTCTCTAATTTATTGAAAGGTTACCTACTGCGTTTGACAGATTTTTTTTACAGCCATGAACTGTCCCCCATATTATGAGCACTGAGTATCCCCTCATCTGTATTTTGTCGCTGTCATGTACCATCTCACACCTTTTAAGTATAAGGCAAGGTGGTGTCCAATGGGTGTTTCAATTAGAGCTAGAACACTCATCACTAAGCTCCTGCATTCAAGCAGTGTTTCCTCATAAAACGCCCTTGCACTCCTTGTCTTTCCTGAGCAATTCTCCATCTTATGCCTTGTGGCGCAGTCCTTCCACACTTCAACAACTCCTCTCTCTGCTTCCTGCACCACTTAACATCTTCCCACACACACGCACCTTCTGACAGGTTTGGAGTTTTTTTAATATAGTCCTAAACTTCCACAAAACAATCAACATTTCTTGGGCTGACTGCAGCAGCTGAATTCCGTGACACATAAGGAGTGTGTGGGGAAAAAAAAACAATCAACTCCTTCATTCTTCACTGCCCCCATGATAAACCATTATTGGGAAACGCCCATCTTGAACCAAAGTACTTTTCGTCTCCATTTCATTTTCACTTTGTGGGTGTTCATAGTCTCTTGCTCAAAGGGACCTACTTTTAACTTCTCTGCTTTTTTCTGCACTTGTACATTTTAACATCTGAAACAATATGAACCTTTTACCCAACTTTTTATCTGCATGTAGATTTCCCTTAGTATTTCTATTGTTTCATGCAATTCCTTTTAGAAAACTAGGTTTTTGTGTAACTGTTTAGTTAAAAACAAAAGGCCTACTAATGGCTATGTAATTTGGAAGCTTTTGAATTGTGCCAAGTCTCGGCTGTTCTAGAACATCGTCAAAAGGCACTTATGTAATCAGAAAATCGGCGCTCTCCTTGAATAGACCAAGTCTGGAAAATCTCACAAAATGGGTTTGTATTAAAACCCTGTTAGCTTTTCAACGTTTTGGAAAAAAACATATATGACTACTTTAGAATCACGTAATGCTGTCTGCTTATAACTTTCATTTAAAATCAGATTTTTTTCATAAATATATTTTTAGTTTTGTCTCGGGAAAGGATATCTTTGGTTTCGTTTGACACACAGAAAAGGTAGATTTATGAATTGTGTCACAATAATTTAGTTTTTTTTTCCCCATTTCAGAGACATTTGGGTGGATTAATCTCTGTCTGGATATTAAGGCCAGTTTTTGGCAAAGCATTTTCTGTTGTGCCTTCTCTTTTTAATTGAAATGTTGAATTGATGATACGATACATGAATGCACCATTTTAAATCCTTAAAGATACAAAAGGTCTGAACTGCATAACTACATATAAAGGGAGCTGGGGAGGCAGAGTTGTTGATTTCAGTCTTACATTGCAAAGTGCCCATCCTTCTGGACTCTGAAGAAGCAGAGGAGAAGACTGGTGGAGTAGGTAATTAGGTAACGATCATGTGTAACCTGCAGACCCTGACAGATGGGGGACTGAAAACCAGAGCACATTCAGGGACCAGCATGCAGTGAAAGTCGCTCTGCCTGAGACTACTTGCCCCTCTTGAGCCCAGTAATGCCCTGCAGCTTGTTTGTGCTGCTGTATCCTGACTCTACGATTCACATTCCTTAAGAAGACAACAATCAGGAAATCTTTTCTTTTCCCTGGTCATGAAGAACAAGACAAATATTTTCACCCTGCAAGCTTCAGCTGGGAGCCCACTGAAGCTCAGCAGGTGTGCGTCTGGTCAGTACCTGGATGAGAGACCTCCTGGGACAGCTAAGCTGCTGCTGGAAGAGGTGCTAGTGGGGCAACTAGCGGGAGCTCACCCTGTGTCTGTGTGGGTCCTAATGCCTCAGTATAGTGACTGGCACAATATACTATAAAAAAGGCACCATCCATTTTATGGATGAGACATAAAATCAAGGTACTAGGGTACCAGGGTTTTTCTCAAGAGTAGGAGTTTTAACCCCAGTGTGCTGGCCAAATTTCTCCCTGGCCTTAACCTATCATGGCCTGCTAATAATCGCCATCTCTGAACTTCATCACTCTGTTCTCCTCCCCACAGACAGCGGATGTGTGGTGAGCATTCTGGCACACTATGCCTGCTGTAACATCACCTAGGAGGGGCTACACACTGGTGGTGGTGGAGGGGACACCCCATTACATGTAAAACACTTTGAGTGGAGCGTCCAGAAAAGCTCTATAAAAGTGGAAAGATTATTATTAATGTCTCTTTCTACAACTTGTATATCTGATTCTCACTGTGTCCAAATCCACCTCACCATACTATACCTCTCAATGCAAGTTAAACTTCTACAAAAAAAAACAAAGTAATAGGAGTTCATATCTGAACAGAAAAGAGGAAACGTTTGAGCAGTACGTTTTAACATGGATTTGTACAAAAAAACACTCGTATTTGTTCTAATGTTATTACTTTGCTTCACTGTATGATGTTAATGGATGGTATTACTGGCCACCTGCCTCAAGGAAGTGAATATATTAGACAACAACTCAATCCAAAAACAGTAAAAGCTCCAAACACTTCCTTCTTTCTCCTTAACTACATTAAAACATACACGTCTCACAAGAAGACTTAATAAATGCTCATTAACCCACCTAAGTTTTAGATGTAATTTACTGGTGTAAGCCAAAGTATACAGCAGTTTTCACTTTCACTCTGGGAATATTGATATTTACTAGCTCTGCAGTACGTAGGCCCTGCAGAATTACAAAACGGTGAACAAAGCTCAGGAAAATTACCATGGTGATGAAATACAGTATTAAATCACTTTCCCTAAAATGGATAGGATGTTCTCTTAAGTTCAGTCTTCTATATGCCAGTGAAAATCTGTTACCACTTACAGTACCAGCTCTTACATTCTTGAAAGGCCCTTTTGAAATTAAATAACAGCAACTGAAGCCACTAAGTTGCTATCCACAACTAAAATATATTCAACAAGTGACAATGGAAATGTACACAACTTCAGCTGCATTATGTACAATTTGAGGTCATTGTAAAAAAATATATTTCTCTATCTTTTGGCCATAGTAATACGAGAGTAGCTGAACACACAGTTACACTTACTTCCCAAATAACACATTGTGTGGCCTAACAGCCTGAAATCAAGACACATTAAATCAGAATTTATTTTAGCTTTGTTTACACATTGTAACACACAACAGCCAAGTGAAAAACAAATGCTCCAACATGTAAAAAGGACTTACAAATGAAAATAAAATAAAAAAAGGGTTGGATAAATGCACACACCCCATAGTAACAGCATTTTGTAAATTAGATCTGGTGTAACCAATTGTCTTCCAAACCACACAACAAGCTAATTAGCCTTCACCTGTGTTCAGCTGTAGTGAATCTGATGATTTCAGAATGAAATTGGCTACTCATGTGGGTCTCCTCTACTAGGTAGTGCATCCAGAAGCCATGTGGAAAAAAGTTGTATGGTCTGATGAAACCAGATAGAACGTTTTGGCCAGAATACAAAACCTTACGTTTGGCGAAAACCCAATACTGCACATCACCCACAGAGTACCATCCCTACTGTAAAGACTTCTGTTCTGGGGGTGTTTGCAGGAGCCACTGGGGCACTGGTCAGGACTGAAAGGAAACTGGATGGATCAAAATACAGAGATTCTTGAAGAACACCTGATGCCTTCTGCAAGGAAGCTGAAATTACAAAGGATGTTTACCTTTCTATGATCATGACAATGATCCTATGCATGCTTGAAAGCAAGAGCTGAATTGCTAAGAAACAAAAAGGTAAACGTCCTTAAGTGGCCCAGACAGAGCCCTGACCTCCATTCAATTGAAAATCGGTGGACTGACCTGAAGGCTGCAGTCCATCAACAGTCCCCTTGCAGCCTGACTGTTCTTGAGCAGTTCTGTGAGGAAGAATGGACAACCATGGTGTTTAGGTGTGCTAAGTTGGTACAGACCTATACAAGCAGAATTATGGCCATAATTCAAGCAAAAAGTGCTTCCGCCAACTACTAACTCAAGGGTGTGTAGACTTATGCAACCCATTTTTCTAGGTTTGTATTTGTGATTACTTTTCAGAATGCTTAAGTATTTGGTTTTTCACTTGGTGGTTGTGTGTTATGACGTGTAAACAAAGGTAAAATAATTTTGGGCTTAATATGTCTTGATTTCAGGCTGCTAGGCCACACAATGTTACTTTGGAAATGTAGTGTATACTTTCTATAGGTCACTGTACTTTGTTAACTACATTCTGTAAGTCAAGATAAAATTAACTTACTGAAAAAAATTGGACAAAGAAGTAATGCATTTGCAGGGATAGAAAACCTGGTGCTTGAAAACTGGTAACTTACGAAGTTTAATAAGCATATTGCTGGATTAGGAGAGGGAGGAGGGATTTTCACTGCTTGAATTTGCTGTAACAATTGAATTGCAATCTACTATTATAACTGCAGCCATCCTCATGCCAACCTGTCCAGATTAACAGTCCCTGAGATTCAATCAGATTTACTGCAGCAACGGAAAATGAGCATTATCACTGTGCTGCTACATTTTGGCATATATTCTCTAGTTATTTATAAATCTGAAAGAGAAAAAAACAAAAGCAGCATTTATTAATCAGTCTTAAAACCTGGAACCCTGATTATAAAAAACAAGATTATAAAACACCTTACAGTATATAAATTTAAGATTCTACAAAAATGGATGATTACCTTGCATTTATGTTAAAACTGATTAAAATAATTGCTAAAGTCATTTAATTAACAGTACAAATTCTTATCAAATAAATATTTACTATATCATTTGGCATTATTCCCCACTGTCATCTCAGGAACTTTGTGTCCAATTAGGCAATACATTGATTTCTAAAGCAACTCTAATCCACTCCTTGGTCATGTTCTGTTACAGGTTTTAAAAAATCATCTTGTCCCCAGTAGTAACACAAGATAAACAATGATGACACTGAATTTCTACATTCTGTCAAGCAGACAGTGAGAGGGGGCCACTCAGGGGCTATTATTGTAGACCTAGGCAGCTCTGTGCCTTGTAACTACCAAAGAGCTAGATAAGCCACATGCACTCCTCTTGTTCGTAACTGTTCTTCTGGAGCATTTCCACATTCTGCACTGCTGATGTTCAATTCATTGTTCAAGATCAATTCCTTTATTGTGTCGATCACAACAAACAGCAGGCTGTAAAAAGTCTTGGTATTTTTATTGTTTAAGTGCTATATTACATTTGTTCAGGAGGCATTCTCTAGATGCATGATAAAATAATACAACACAGCAGTTACATATTCAACTGGCTTGATTTACTGTATACTGTGCAGTATACTGTATGGTCATTTCTGAGTGTCCAGAACACTTTCCTCTTTTTTCCATCTGTTACAGTAGCAACAAGATATTCCCTCAAATGAGACTACAGCATCAAGCAGCTCCCAAATATAATTATTTGCTTTTTTTTCATATTAAATTTTTTTACATGTATTCTCTGTGACTGATGGTGCCAGCTCTGTAGATTTTTTTAGAAACCCAGTCTGAGGGGCACAAGTCCAAGCCTACAGTATACCGCTGCAGTCTCGAGTCTGGGTGGAGTGATTGACCAGGATGCTACATATGACAGCGCACAGTAGGTTAAGTACTGCCACGATTGGCAAGCTGAAACCAGTCAGGACATTCTTGACATCTGTGCATTCTGTGACTTGCCATGTGTTGGTGAGATGGCAGTGCTGTCAGCGAGGGCCACATCACTACTCCAACCAACGCTCAATCTTCTGCAGCAAGCATGACAAATGGCAGATGGCTCTGACAACAGCACGTTTTAGAGGAATGCTTACGCAGTCCTCACCTCCCGCTCGTTGTTACAAGAGCTGCAGCAGTCGAGCAGAATCGTTTAACAGCTGATGAATTTAAAACCAGGAGAGCAGAAAAGGCAAAAACAGCTGGACAGCCCTAGAAATGGAAAATAAAAACAATCCCCTTATGTCTAAGCATCAGGTGCAATTCTAATATTGCACAAAGGCTTATTTTATCTCACTGGTAAAATGCTTTGTTCTACTGTAGTCAAGAACAATACACTATAGTAAGGTTATGTGTAAGTGATCAAGAAACTAACCCTAAAATAAACTCTGTTGCAAACTAACACAATGATAACATATTTAGAGACTGTAAACAAGGCATCTGATCAGACATCCTAGTTTACAATAATGTCATTTACATTTTAAAGTACTCTTCGGTGTACAATAAGTCTCCATTTCACCCCTTTGAAACACTTCTTTGAAATATTCATTTTCAAGGAAAGGGTCAGATTAACCTCTTTAACAGAATGCCCTGACTTTAGTTAATGGTAGTGCAATAGGAAGCAATTGGAAAGGCAGCTGTTGCTGTTATTGAGATTGAACCCAACAGTATATACAGTACATACTCTTACACTATAGTGTCACTGGTGTCAGGTAAACTGGAACAAAGACAAATACCTTGAGCCTGCACATAATGCAGTCTGTTATAAGTTAACGCTTTAAAAGGTGTTCATGGCAGAAGAGCATAAAGCTTAACTGAATTAATAAAAATGGTTAAACCAGCTTGCTTTGGCAAGTAAGCTGCAAATGTCTTACATTTTCAATGGCCTTCGAAAAGCCAGCTGGCTCAGTGTACTACACTGTCGCAGTAAGCTGACTACACACATAATGGATACACTGCTGAATGACAATGCATTTCCCGAGACACATATAGCCTGCTATATATGGAACTGTATCTCTTTCTATAGAAATACTGAAACCAATGTACCCAATCCATTTGCTCTGATACAGGAAAAACGTACAGTAACACGATAAGGGTAGGGACATGTGCTAAGCAAATACATCATAACAGAGCAATACGTAACCAGTAGCTTTTGCAGACTGTTATTACAGTTGATAAGCACCACATAACATGCTTTACGTTACAGAAATCTTTGACAAATTTGATATTAAAAATAAGTCAAGTTCACTTGAACTTTAAACTAAATGAACTCAGGAGAAATCTTCCAGTAATTTCACCCACAAGAAAAGCGCTGTATGTAACATTTCAATTTTATGGATATAAAGCTACTATAAATTGCACAAAAACAGGGGTATGAAATAATTTACTCCTTCATATTTAAATATTTAAGCAATTACGTAGCTTTTTAAGAGAGGATTAGCATGCCTGTGTAGAACCATTAACTATTAAGATAGATCTTAACTGTACAGTACAGTTAAGTATATGAAGATCATAAAGCACAATACACAATATTGGAGATACACAGCAAAACACCTTATGGTCCAAAATGGAAGGGGAAAAAAAATCAGTGTAACACAGTTATGTTTCAGTGACAGTAAACATCCAACTACAGTAGGTCATGTTTTCCATGACATTCATTCTACAGAAAAGAATAAAAAATGCTATTGGATTGTTATTGACTCAACCAATGCTCATCACAATGTTTTGTTTTAAATAGCCCCTATCCTACCTTGGACATGTGAACATCTATGTTGTCTTTTCAGATTAGCTTAATTGACATTTCAGCACAGTCGAATATTTGACACTCACCTAGCATTTTAAGCAATGACAAGGATGGAAAGCATTTCCTATAAAACATTAGACGTTTCATAGGGCTAAATATCATCTGAACATTACAGGGTGCCCCAATCCTAGTGATGGTAACCTGCGTGTCTGCTTGTTTACCATTTATATTGGAATTTCAGTTACTTTAACTGAACAAATGGAGCGCTTTAAAAGTGACTTTCCAGTATGTGTCAAGTAATTGAATGTTGAATGAGTGTAGATGTGCAAAGAGAAATTCAATTAATTCCAGGAATTACTATGTTTCCAAAAAGAGGTGCAAGAGAAGAACTGCCAGTGTGCGCTAACTGCAGGGAAGCCAGTAAAGTCGAGTTCGGCACCAAGAATTAAACAATAAAGCGATCTGCTGGAAAAACAAACCAGTATACAATGGGGTCAAAAGGACCCAGACTGTGAACTCAGGTCCAGCGGGAGTGTGTGTTGGTGCTGATATAGTTGAATGGACTTTGTTTAGAAAATATTTTTATCATCCTTATCATTTTAAAGTCATTTCCTTCTTTCTCTTTCCCCCAAGAGAGGCACTGCAGCGTATAACTACTGAGCCTGCTATTTTGGTGTCTTCTTATTAAATGTCCAACTACCACACTTGGAAGTGCCCTGCAAAAGATAATTCCGGGTGATACTGTACAAATGGAAACCAGCCGAGGTCTGCTTCGTGTCCGAAAAATTTATGAAATACAGCATCGAGCCAATTCACCTGGAGTGAGAGAAATTAATTTCAGTTGAAAGGTGGCTACAACTGTGCGTGTATCACTCAAACTTTTCATAATCAAAACTGACTGACTGATTTGCGATCCATCTTTAATTGAAGAAAGTACTGCATAAAGTAACTTAAATCCTTAACAGACCAAAGGTATCTGGAATGCACAGTAATACAGTTCAGACCTATATAATCACACTGGTTATGTAAACAGGTTTCATACAAGAACAGGCTCTACAATAGTTGTGTTGTTGTAAGAGCAATCACTTTGAATGGAACTGTATGTTCTTTAGTTCTTTCTGACTTGGGAACACCGGCACTGACTGAATAGCTGTGTTATTATTTACCTTATGAGGGGTGTACGTCAATAAATATTATTTTTTCTTCCCTGAAACACAGGTAACGGTCTCTGAGCTTGCTCTCTACAAATCCACAGAAATATATTTCCTATCTCTTCGTAATACGATGTTTTGCTATAAATTCTTCCCGTGAAATTTCACGCAGATTTCTATTGTCATATGCGATTGAAATAAAATAGCAATTTTAAAATTGATTAAAATGGTTTCCATGTACAGTGCAAGCACTTTTATAACAACAGTGGTGCTTCAAACAGTACAGTACTTTCCATATGGATAAGGACTCCACTGGAACTTTGCAACGACTATTAAAGGTAGTATTATTATACTTACAGTAGTATTATTATATATAAACAGCCAAACTGCGATACATAAGTATACTATTACATGGCACTACAGAAGAAAGAAGCTCCCAAACATCAGAAGCTGAACAGTTAAATATTCTCATGCGTAATACTAGCCAGACACGGAGAAGAAATAAATGAGCAAAAATTAGACACGACAATAATGAGCAGGCTATCTGTACAATCCCGGTCAGTAAATTCCTGACTCTGGTGGCCAAAGATCAGCTTAATTGTGCATAAGTTCAACAAATATAGGCAATTATAAAAACGTAACGCAGGAGGAATCACAAACTGTTTCCTTGGAATTAATTTCTTAGGAGTCCCAAGCTAGCTGACTAAAAGAGCCCTTTAACTCCTTATCTTCCGGAATCGCCGGAATATTAAATACAAGGACAACCACAACGAGGGTGAAACGATTCCATTTTTTTTCTCATCTACAAGCACAAAACAGGCAGCCAGACCCAAACTAACAATAACCAACAATCTGATATTGTTTTAAATTGCAGAAATCAGCTGACGGTTTCTTGCTGGAAATGCAACCTCTCGTTAATTATTTCCGTGTAAGGCAATAAGAGTGTTGGTAGGCCTAAAAGAGCTAGTGAACAGAACAATCCTACCTCGCAACAATGTAACAGGTAGTTAGAAGATGAAAGGAGGCCAATGTCCTGGGGGAAATGACAAATTCCCAAGTACGGTAATAGCCCCTACAGAATCGCCTCCGTGAACACTGACAGCTGTCAGTTTGCCTGTTGACAGCTACGAAACCAACTAGCTACACATTACATGCTTAGATATGAAATAAGGCATTTTTTCACACCACCTCCGAGTATCTGAATGTGTGCAACATTTGACCCCAATAAAAACCCTATCAACGCGCCCGTGCGATGTACCGTATTTAAAGGAAACGCACGCGTTTTCTGAAGAAAATCTTAAATAACAAGCAGTCGTATAGATGTATACACGTTATTTTTTTTTTACAAAACACTATCCATATTCAGTTTGGCACATGAGAAATGTGAAGCAAAACCCCGATTTCTTGAGGCCACTGTAAACGAAAACAGACTTTATCCTTCGCGATATGAAAGCACATCCTACGCCTTTAAAGTTATATATACATAAGGATTGCCCCTCCTCCCGAAATCGGCAATATATCCTGATTCGGAACAACACGTTACATTACAGTGTTACCTGCTTTTATGTCTGCGATCTCTCCTTATCAATATAGAGAACCAAGCCGTAAAATACTGTGCATTGTACTTACGTGATGAAAGTTAAATAAGCACATTTAAATACAGGGTAACATGGACGGTGATAAACAGCAGCAGTCTGTGACCTACTTTCTCCCTTCTGTAACTGTCGTCGCACCACTAACCTACTTTTCAACCAATTATGTCTTTGGAGCGGCCTGCATAGTCCTCGCAGCCAATCGCGCCGGGCTGGGGCAGCGCCTGGCCAATCTCGCAGGGCCGGATAAAACAAAGGAGCATTTCGCGTTGCGCTCCACGCCACGGGCGCGCAATCTCGGAGAGACACGGCCAATAGGAGGAGGCTTAGGAAAGCGAAGGAGGAAGGAAGCCTGCCGCCGACTTGGAAAAATGGTGAATCACCGAGCGCTGAAGGAGGAAATGTATCCACGACTTCGGAGCCGTGCGCGACCGTGGCACCCGATTACTCAGGCGCCCTGTGCGGCCATAAAGTTGCACGGCTTGAGTCGGATGGTTGCCTTGGCTGTAGTCACAGCTTCACACCGTTGGAGCCAAGAAGTAGACTTTGATCTTTAAACCCACCCATTTCACTGACCCGTGTGAATTTCAAGAAGAGAGACTCTGAGCAGCGGAGTTGACAGCTCGGTGTGGCGCATCGTGCCTTACAAATTACGCGCAGTGTTCGCAAAATACAGCACCCAAGGCATCTGTCTTCAAAGAAGGCTTTTTTTTTTATATGCGTTGATGTCTTCTGCATCAAGACATTGTATATTGATGTCTTTTACAATATAGTTTCTTACATTATAGTTGCCAAGCACACACACCAGGTTAAAGGATACCCAGCACAAGATATGATTGTAACAGGAAATGGACATCGTAAACTAAAGAATGGGATTCAGATCATGGACGGCGCTGAAACCAAAAGCAAAATGCGCCACCTGTTGGAGTTTTTTTATATACATGGTCACTCTGACTCAAGAGTAGTGTTGCCACGATTAAGTAAAATATAATAATATCCATTACAAAAAAATTACATCAAAACTATGCCTCTTTTGAATTTTACTCATATTTTACCTCCAATATAAATGCATTTTAGAAGGCATAACTACACATACGCACTCTCTCCCGAATTACAGCCTTAATTTGTCAGTTCAGTCTGGAATCATCTTCCGAAACAATTGTATACCAATTGTGGAAAAATCAATTTTATTTAGTGAAGACTGAACCACCACACCAATTTCAAATCCGTTGATGTTCTTTTTAATACACATATTGGAAAAAAAAAACCTTATCTGTTTTGTGTTTAGAGTCAGAATTACGGTGATGAAGAGCACACCTTTTAAACGACTATGATAAACGTCTGTGACGCTGAAGATGGATGATATCTTTACTTCAACGACGTGTCATCTGTCTTTACTATATAACTATTTTCTTACACTGGTAAACTAGCCCAAAGCTGCGCCCTGTGACCCCATGCTTTATTATAGTAATAAAATGAAAACCCCTCGTCTTATGTGCGTCTCCTACACAGTATACTGCCATTTCCTTTGGGAGCTGTAAGAGAGATCTTCTTAATCAGTCTTCACACCAGAGGTGTCCATCTGCGGTCCTCAAAGGCAGCTGGCCAACAAGGTTTATAGGTACTTTACATCTCCAGCTTCTGAACAACAAGGGAAGTCTTCAACGTGTCCAATTAAATCAATAAAGAGTTGAATTAGGCAGTTAATGACTCGGGTGGAAAGAACAGCAGAAATCGTCCGTGTCTTTATCCACTGCAGTTTCCTGTATGGTGGGTTTGCCTCTTTCAAGCAGATTTCCACAGAAGCCCGCACCATTCTCTCAGAAGCGTGTCCTTGTGCCACTCAGCCTGGCCACCGCTGATGAGAAACTGATATGGGCTGCAAGCGGAAATCTGATTAGGAATGTATTGGCCCTGGTCTTCGATCATAGTTTTGTTGGTCCATCGGTTTTTATAGCTGGGCTCCTTGATGTGAGCCATTGATTCTTCTTCATTTCTCATCCCAGGATCCCCTTATGGAAAAGTAATTGTTCTGGGCTGGGGGAGGGGTCCTATTGCTGCTGGCTTTGGTTTCATGCTGTCAATTATATAATCGAACCGCTAACTGAACCTAATAATAGGATTATTTGGACTCTTACAATTGCTCGTAAACACGTTTGAGGTTGCCTTTTAGCTATAACATTTCATCGGTAATTTAAGACCTCCAACTTTCTTAGAAAGAAACTTGCAAAGGTCAAGCAAGGTCTCAGTTTCCACTCAAAGTAGATTTAAAGTAGATTAAATGCTTGCACCTGCTGCGCATTATGGTTTAAATAGAAATCAAACTCATTAGCGAAGCAACGCTTTTAGTTGTAGTTGATTGGTTTCAGAGTTTCAGCTCTGACTTCCCATTGGTCTACGTGTTTGTCAGTTAAGGGGCGGATCGGAAACTGGGAAGCGGCGTCTGATTTGAAACAGAGTTACAGTTTACAGTTGTTACTTGTTGTTTTGTTACTGCCTTCTTTGATTTTGAGAAACCACTTTTTTTTTTTGCTATCATGTCGCGGAGAAAGAGCAGTCACGGAAAGTCGCCACGAAGGCGTAATGTGGTTTTGGGGTTTGACGAATTTGGTTTCGCTGTGTTAGGTAGAAAAGATGTGAAAATATCGCCAGGCAGATGTCACGAATACAGGTAATGCTCAGACTACTTTATCTTGCTAGTGCAACTGCACAAGTCTAGTTTAAGGGTGGTGATTTTTATACCACACACAGTGTATCCATTATCTTCAAAATATTTATGGGAAACGTGTCGCTAAAGTAAAACAATTTGCCATTGCTAAAAGAGAAACGAGAGACATCACGGGGACATTTTTTACAGCAAACTGCTATAGTTATAATGCGTCATTTTGAATGTTTTAATGACAGCATGCCCTTACTATTTATAATAGCCCCACGTGTTTCTTAATCTTCTGTTAATGGCTTGGTATAAAAAATTATAAATACTAAGTCAGCCCCCCCTTAATAATACGAAATATTTAGAATTACCTTCTTGGAAGAGAGACGCCGCAGTTCATGTTAAAAGTAATATTCCCGAGAGTTTGACTGGGTTGAGAATAGGTAAATTTATATATATATATGTAAAATTGCATTCTTTTGAGTGGAGTATTAAAATACTGTTAGGTAATACATAGAAATCACCACAAGGCCAATAGTTTCCTGGTCGGTTTAACATATATAATGTTTTTGGCTCCTTACAAATTCCTCATTTTACATTTTCATTGCTTATGCATTGCTTTTTCATCGCTTGGTGTTTAACTTTGTTCATTCCATTTTAATAGCTACCCCAGACCAAATGCTGTGAAGGTGAAGGAATTGTGTCATTTGCTCAGCTACTGGAATGGTTCGAGTTTCATCTGCAAGAACCAGGTAGCTTGGTGCTGTAAAGTTAAACTCTATGATCACAGAGAAGGATCTGGTCTTGACTGACAGCACATAGAGCTGTTGAAAGTACAGACCTACTGTAAGTCAGATGTGCAGTGAGGCTCGCAGGTGCTTGCTCATCCCGTATTCTGAGATGTCTTCTGGGACCACTGCCTTTATTTAATATTTCTACAGAATTCCCATCTCTTTTGCCATGTACAGAAATGTATGTTAACCAGGATAATTCCGTTTTTACTGAAACATGTTGTAAGTTAAATGGAAGGCTGCAATGTGAAATTAAAATTCCATTTGTAATTATCCCCAGTGACATACTCAAAGTTGTAATGTGTTTTTTTTTGGTAAATAGCAGAATAGTTTAAAAATATTATTATTATTATTAAAGCTCTTTTATTGAGTTTTTATTTTTGTATTTTTTGCATATATGTACATAAAATCTGATATTGTGCTTTGGGTGTTTATTTCAGATTGAGCAATTTATTAAAATAGGGCTTCCACCTGAGTTACGCGGGCGTGCATGGAAGTCTCTTCTGGATGTTGAGTCAGTGAAAGGTGGCAGTCCTTTCAATTATCAGGTACTGTGCCTTTTGCAGTTTTCACATTTTCCTGGGATTTTTTTTATTACACTTTTTTTATTATTTGGCCTATTTCTTTAGTTCAGTGAACATGCAGAATTTGTTAACAAAGGTACTCCACAGTTTGCTTGATTACCAGTGCTGAGGGGCAATTGGAATCTTGTTTAGCAAGAGTGGATGACATTCTCTCTCTCTTTTTAATTTTTCTGAATTGTAGTAGAGATTGAGATTAATTTTTCTTTACAAGTTTTTTTGCCTGCCTGCCTCTCCAGGTAATATGATGACACATTAGCTACAACTATAAATTACTCTGCTTAGCTTCCCAGTAATCCCTGCCTACTTCCTTGAGGTGATCTATCCAAACAATTACTAGGTCAAACCATAGTTGAAGTCTGAGATCTGAAGGCATTAGGTTTAAAGATACCCATTGCATTTTCACATAAGTGTGCACTTGAAACTAGGATAATCCAATTCAGTATTCTTTCAGATCATAAATTATTTTTATGCATTGAGTTTGAGTAAAAGGTTTTTTTTTTTGCACTGATTCATATTAACTGGCACCAAAAAGTGGTGTCTGTAACACCTGGAACCATATCTTTGACATTTTAACAACCTATCATTCTTTCAATGCTAAAACATGATGAGTGAACTTCATTATCAGGTAACTTAAACTCATAATGAACTGTACACCACTATAATGCCAAATTGTCAGAGGTAACAAAGGGGTTTCTGTTTGTCAGTTTTTATAATCAGTTGCATAGAATCCAGAGAATTCATGAAAGACATCTGCTACACAATTTTAACAATAATTTCTGCATTTTTCTTTAGAACTGTCTCAAAGAAATTCGAAGGCCTCTCGTTGACCTTGGTGTGACGGAGTATAGTATCCGTTCTGCAATCACCATTTTGAGTGAAACGGAGAATGAAATGAGATGCACAGAAGATGGTCCTAATCCCAGTTGCGAGTTCACCAACAGTGATGTTGTCATCTTCAGACAAGTGGCTCTTGACCTCCGTGAGTATTAATTTGAAATCCTAAACAAAGCCTACATTCAAAAGGAAAAATAATCTTAATCTGTTGTAATATGAGAGTACAATGTTTAATAGCTTTGTAATTAATCTGGTGTATAACCTGCTAGCTATTTTCTAGGAAAGCCTTTCTTAGATGCATCTTAATTCAAATTTTAGGCATGTGTTTCTTTTAGCCTCATCCTCTTTGGAAATCAAAGAATTGGAATAACAGATTCACACCACTGATAATTCTGGAAATATGGTATCAAGATTTTTTAAAAATTATTTTCTTGGTTCTCCCCTTTTAGTTATAATACTTATTAGGTGAAAAGCTAGGTTTGTCTGCCATTATTAGACAGATTACCAAGAGGAAATGGTCCCTTCAATTAGACATTATTTTTAGATCATAAGAATACTGTACGTGAGTCAAATCTTTTTGGTTATTTTTTTATCAGTAACCCATATCGTTGTTGAATTATTTTCACCCCTTTACTGCTATTTAAATACTTTCTTTCCATTATTCTTGAAAGCATGCTTTAAACTCGCCTTTTACACCTTGACTAAAGCAATCTATAGGTTTTTGTTTTTTTTTTTTAGACCGAGGGTGGAGAACAGGTCTGTTGTAACCTATTAGGAAGGAAATGTGACTCAGGAATTCCTTCTGTTTGCAGAGAGATCTTTTCCTACTCATCGCTCATTAATGGGTGACACCCCAGAAGCTATTGAAGGGCAAGCCAAGCTCTTTCGTGTCCTCATCGCGTACGCAAAGTATAATCCCCAGATAGGATACAGCCAAGGTGGGTGTGTGGCGGATGACTGATATGGTTTTGGAACGTATCCTAGCTGCTTCACACACAGATAAAGAAGTTTATACATGGTAATTAGGTTTCATTTTTCTGATTAATTCCATGTGCTTGAAAAACATGTTGTAGATTTTTGACTTGAGACTTGGACTGCAGTCAGGTTTGTCTTTTTTTTTTACTTCAGACTCTGATTAAATTGACTTTAGGATTGATTTAGGGCTTTTCATTTTACTTTTTGTATTGTGATGTTATTCTACCTTACATTCACCTTATCCCACAGCTACACTTTTTAGAATTACCAAGAAGCACATGATGACCCAGTCAATTGCTCTTAATACACTGCTTTTTACCTGAGCACTAAAGCAATATTGTATTTTTTTCTATTAAATTACTGGCAATTGTTTTCTGGATGGCAAGCTTTTGAATTACCAGTGGCCTTATTCTAGTTTCCTGCTGATGGTAATTTTGTATTTGCCTCTCAAGGTTCTTAAATGTGATTAATGTGACCTCTACACATTCAGACATGTAAGGGTTGAAAGGCAAGCATATTAAGCTACTGACTATAAATGTTACTCTGAGAGAGGAAAAATATGAATCAGGCATATTTAATCAATGATGAATATTGCCAACTGGCATCTTTTCCCCACTCATCTCTTAGGTTGGGCTGCCAGAGGCATACAGTTACAAGAAAACGTTTGTCAACCCTTTGGAATTACCTGGATTTCTGCATTAATGACTCATAAAAATGTGGTCTGATTTTCAACTTAGTCACAACAATAGAAAAACACAATCTGTTTAAACTAATAACACACAAACAATTGTACTTCTTGTCAGTACTGAAGACATCGTTTAAACATTCACAGTCTAGGTTGGAAAAAGTATGTGAGCCCGTGAATTTAGTAACTGGTAGAACCTCCTTTAGTAGCAGTAACCTCCACCAAATGTTTCCTGTGGCTGCTGGTGAGACTTGCACAACGGTTAGGAGGAATTTTAGACCATTCCTCCTTACAAAACTGTTTCAGTTCATTGATATTTCTGGGATTTGTATCACAGAAATTCATACGTTTATTGCAATAACGTAATAAAGAGAAGTTGAAACTCACAATATGTCAGTGTGTTTTCAGTTATACAGTTGCAGTTTTATGAAAGGAATTCGTTAACAAAACTGCCTCAGACTAAAAATAGAGTTCTGTTAAACTTAATTCTCTTAATATGTAATTTCTTGTTGGGTAGTTGGACTAAAACTCACCACTGCGAGTTATTCCTGTCTTATACCCTAAAACTGAGAAAAATGACCACAGTCACAATTTTGCTTTATAATTGATTAAATATAACTTCTTCACTTTATTATTTTCAAAGTCCGCAATAATTATTCTGCACTCCACAGGTATTTATTCAACCCCAAGTTGCAAGACTTCCAATACATACACAACCTCTATCAATGAAAATATTATTTTTGGAAAAATAAAATGTTAGTTCTTCTACATGGAAAGTGAATGTAGCACTTTTAATATAAGGAAGATTCTTTTGTATCATTTGCTACTCATGATTTTTGTTTTTAACCTAATGTTTTTACGTAGTACTGTTTTTTTTGTTCTTTTTGCTTCAATTTGTTCTGGCTTTTATTCCATCTCCTTTATCAATTTAATTTGAAATTATGAAATAATGTGCTGAAACTGAAAATATTTTGTTTACTTTGTTCCATGTCAGGTCTTCATTACCTGCATAAAACATGTTGATTGTTGACTTTGACTTTTCTGCAGTTTTATTTCATCAGTGTATGATAGAGGTTTCTTGAATGAACTGATTTTATGTGATTTTAACTGGATTATTTTGGTATGTTTTTACTGTGAGTATTTGTATGCTGCTTGGCTATTGTACAGTTGCCATGCTCATGAGCATTTATACTTTGGTGTGCCTTTCTCTTTAGTTTTGAACATATTCTATTGGAACTGATTTTGTTGAGGATATATAATGCTGCAAAGACCTGGGATAAAGTCTATTATTCAGTTTGGATTATGTGACAGTTCACATGGTCACTTTTTAAATGACTTTTATGGTCTCGCCAGCAGTGGGCAGCAGTGCACAATGCACGAGCTGCTGAGCTGATTGTTCAGCCAAGTAGTATTGTACATCCAGGAAGAGATGAAGGAAAATGGAGAATTGTTCATCTTTAGTTAAAGTGCAAAACTTTTTCAAAATACATATTTAATGCAATTGAAATGAAGGCTTTGAGATACTAGTCCTACAGCACTTGTGAGTCATTACTGAATTACCCATGTTCTTAAGACCTGGAATGAAAACATTGGTCATCTGTTTTAATGCATTTTTTCTCATGGATCTGTATAAGTTATCCATGTGAATTATACAATAGGGAAAACCTATCTGGCCCAATCCAAAGTGACTTGTACTGCACACTGGTGGGACGATAGGCAGCAAAGTTTCCTTCCTGAGAAGAATTCTCAGTTCAGTGGAATCTGAATCATTGTTTTTAAGGTTATGCCTTATCCACCCTGGCGTCATTGTTTCTCCTTTATTGGCAGGTATGTCATACCTTGCAGCTGTACTCCTGATGCACTTGTCTGAAGAGGAGGCGTTTTGGGCCCTTGTGATTTTATTAGAGAGACCTAAATACTTATCAGGGCTGTTTGACCATTCTTTACACAAGTAAGAATTCACCTTGTTTCTGTCCTGTTTTTGCAATTAATCTGCAAGTAGTTTTATGTCTGCTGGCTGCAGCTTTGCTGAAGCTGAAGAAGGATGTTTCATGCATGAAATCATAGTTAAATGTTAATATGCAATAAGGATCAGTGGAATATTCTGACACAATTTTTATTCTTCAATGTCACTTAGGAATGGCCTGGTATCTAAATTGTAGAAATAGAATAATTTCGAGTTACAGTTTTTTACATTTAAAGTGTTTATACAGAACAAAGAGAAGAATATAAACTGAGTTGAGCTTTAGGGTTGCTGTCACTGACTGATAAGGACATATCCAGGTTTTCCTGATGTTCAGGTGAATAAGGCTTCATACCGTACCTTTTTCATAATTTTTGTCTTTTATAAAAGTTCAATCTGACATATTTTACTCACAAGTGTTCTTTGGTCCTTTTGCTTTTCAGAATCCAGCACAATGCAAAGGTTTTCCAACAGCTCCTGAAGCACAGAATGCCACAGCTTTCACAGCATATTGTAAGTAATGGGAAATGTGGTCTGCAAGTGATGTGTATTCAAGGTTTCTAAAATACTTACTGTTTTAGTGCCAACATTGTTAAACAGAATGTGACACACAGCTTTTTTTTTTAAGGTAAACCTAAAATAGGTTTTGCATTTTCATAGACCATATATGGTTTAAAAGTGCACATCACCAGTGATTAAGATGCCCACTGACTTTGTTTCCAAACAGATTTCTGTAATTGAACTGTAATTATAAACCAGGTCAACCAAATGACTGTATCGTGTGTTCATGGATAATGACTCATCCTTGTAAAGCTGAAAAAAAACTTAGTTTTTTTAAAACTATTTCTCGTTTAACCTAACGTACTGCATTTTCCCAAGCTTATGATAGTGTCATTTCTAGTTTACTGTGTGGGCAGTGTGGATATTAGGTTGTTTATAGATGGGAACATAACCTATTTTATCTGTATTTGCTAAGGTGCAGTTTAATGGAGTTTATGCTAGTGAATGAAATAAATACATGTTTCTATGTCAGATGACTTTGATGATATCTTTTGCTGGGTTTAAATACAATTAAATAATAAACAGAAGCTGAGGGTAAGTTGGAAATAAATCAGCAACATACAGTAATCATGCACTAAACTAATTCTGAGGCCATCCAAATTAGCTTACCTCATATGCCCTCACTCTTCTTTGAGACATTAAACTCCCACAGTGATTTAAGACTGTTTTGCCATTTCATGCCCATTAGCAAAATCAGATCCTTTAATGATGGCATAAGTGGTTAATTTTTGCTAGCCAGGGGCAGTTGTTGTAATCTTGCTGCAGTCAGTGTATCTGAAAGAGAAGTTTTCTTCCTGACGCAGCCTTTTCCCAGAGATGATGGTAGCAAGCAGTTATTGGTACAGTAGCTATTTTTTGGCCACTAGGTCAACCCACATACACAGGAAATTGCTTACTTGAGACATTTGTCTCTAGAAAATTAGTTTTGAAACTATTATTGTTCTACACTTCCTCAAGAATATGATTTCAAATGAAAAAGCACAGTAAACCAAACTGTAAAGCAAAATCGAGAACCAGATCACAAATTCTCTTTTGCACTTACTTAAGTGGATTTCAAACTGGGCTTCCTTTTTATAAATTGATGCTCTTGATGGAACAGTTTGTAGTATAAAATGTTTGAGAAACATTTTCGTCTTGTACCCATTATTTGTCAAGCTTTTGAAAAACATGGGAAGTTTGTGAGAAAAACATGGAAACTAAACACATGTGTGGGAGATTAAGATTCCTCTGGTTTCTCAATGGTATATTTTGAGCGAAAAGTAAATTGCTCAAACAAAAAGCTATATCAATTTTCACAAGTTACTGATTCACTTGTATGGAATGTTTGGAGACTTGTATAAAATGGATGATACCAGTGCGTCCTATCGTCATACAGATGTATTCTGCAAAGCTGCTGTTTGTGATGTACTGTATCTAGTCAACCAGAATAAACGTGTATCCCACAAAAGCTGTTTCTCTAATTTGTGATACTTGACTGTTTCTGAATGGGTTTATGCCCCCTTAACATTTAGCTTGGCACATTTGGCAAAGTATTGCAAAAAACACAAGTTTGGATGTTTGGGTAGTCAAACCTTTTGAATTTAGTGGACAAATTTAATGTCCCAATTTCAGTATAAGTGTTTATTGTATAGTGTGGTATTAAAAACAACAAATGAGTTTTGGACTAATAAGCACTTGTTAGTTTTTAATGCCTCTTGGTACATCTTTTGCGATAATAAGGATCTCGTTCTTCATGGAATTGCAACACTAAAAACCTACAAGGCATTATAGTTGTACACATACAGTAATATTATGGCCTTTTAAGCCCTAAAAATATTTTTGTTGTGATAATGAATGTACTGTAATTTGCAATAAATGGCTGTGCTTCTATGTTTGACAAATGTTCCTTTTTTTTGCTTATCAATATATGCCATGGTTATTTATGTAAGGATTTCATCTGTTATTTAAGTTATATATTTCTAAAGATCTGATTGCTCCTGATAGTAAACCCTAAAAAAATCTTGGTGAATTTTTGTGAAAAGAGAATACTGCGGAAGAACAATGATGGAGCTACTGAAAACTTTTGTTTTTGACAGGACCTCGATTGTTCTGACCTTGCACTCACTTAAACAATTTTCTCTGATATTTGAGAAAATGAGAGAAGCTAAGGGTTAATGACAAAGATTGTGGCACCACCTCCATTTTCAAACTCTCTTGAAAGTTCTGAGCTGCTTATTCAAAAAACATAAACTGCTTTGCTAGTGTATTGCACCGTGATCTTATTTTATGACGGGTATGAGTGTTTGTCATGTTTCTTTCAATATGAACAGGAAGGTCTTGGAGTGTCTTCCTTGCACTACGTGATGCCCTGGTTTCTGACGCTGTTCACTTCTCTGCCCTGCTGGGACTCTGTGCTGGCTGTGTGGGACCTCCTCATGCTCCATGGTAAGAGCCGTTCAGTCTTTGCTCTATGGCTACACCCTGCGGTTAGCCCACGGCACAGGCGGAGAGATATTGGTCTCTACCTTCATCACTTTATTGGCTCTCTAGACAAAGATGAGCAATTTGTTAAAGGTGCATGGCAGAGTCTTGTTCACTAGGGGTCACTCTCAGCAGAGTTTTTTTTTTTTCGCATGGGAGGTTGGCTTAAAAAGCTTTCCTTTTCTTTTTTTAATACAAATTCTGGCTTTTATCAGTTTGGATAATTATCTCCGTAATGTTGATTTACTTTTACTTGCGGGGAAAAACCCAAGGCAGGAACCAGAGGTTTTTAGGTTTACTGTGAAATATTTTGTGATGTCAGTCTTGTTGTCGTCTTCCATTAATGATTTCTTTCATATTGTTAGGGAAGAATTCTTGGGAGGGTTTTATTAAGTGTCTAATTTAATTTAGATCTGTCCATTTTACTTTCACACAGCAATTCAGTTCCAGCATTATTACCATACGTTACAAGTGGCATTTACTAACAAGCTGTGGTTAGCCTTTTAAATGTTATTTTCCAAGGTCCTGACCTTTGTGACAATGAAGTGCTGCTCTTTCTGACCTGGGAAGAAGTGTAGTATTTTGCAGATCGGAGATGGCATATCTGGCATTTCTGGAATATTGCAAAGAAAGATGGGTCAAATGGTCATTCGGTGTTTTTTTTTACACACTTTAATTTTCTTTCCTTTCTCCTGCGTGATATCTAGAGCGGAACTGTAATTGACATTAAGTGAATAAAATACACATCTGAGCATGTTTAAATGGGAAATGATGCAGCACAACCACGAACATCTGTGTTTAATGGAAGCATAACAGCATAACTTCACAAACTGTCTCTTTGGGGAAACATTAACTTTGACATTTGTGCCTTAAAGTTTTGCCTAGGATACTGAAAGATTTGATTAATACTATGTTGTGTATGAGTTTAAGAAAGAAAATTGGTTCCAATTTTAGAATTCTATATGTAAAATGGGTATTTTTGATCATTTTGATTTTTTAAAAATGGAGTATCTTTTAATAAAGAGGAAGAGTTATGTAGGAAGAACATATTTCCTTATTTAATGCTTTCATAAATGTTTTAATATTTAATTTGGGTATTAGTGTGGAGTATCCATTTTTTTTCTATAACCCTTATTTGTTATTGAAGCTCAATTCTTAATCCTTTGACTTTTAGGTACATTAAACTAACTGGAAAATAGTCATTTTGGCTCCAATACAAGCCCTAGTGGCTGTGCTGTTAAAGTATTCAAATGCGCATACACATCAGTTTGTTGAAAGGATTTCTAGGCACTGAGGGTAGCCTGTCGCTTTGAGTTATGGATGTTTAGTGTTTTGCTACCTGCTAAAAGTCTTAGGCCTGCTGCCCATTCAGAAAATACCTTTAAGGTAATTGATGCTGAATGCAGTTCTTGTAGGAAGTGCTTGTGAAAAGCCTGCAAGAGGACCAATTCAGGACTCTTTCAACAAAAGACCTATAGATATTTATCTGTAGCACACAAAGGGCCCCATGCTGTGTTTGTCACACATCGGTAAGCAAATCATTCTGATACACTGTTTTCTTATTTCCTATCAATCATCTATTTCTCATTGATAGAGGGATCTTCTGGGATGACAGGTTTCTTTTGTAGTGTCCCTCTATGTGCGGTCTTTCCATTGGGTTTCCTACTTGCAACAATCTTAGTAAGCCTGAGAAACTCCTAGAGGGGAAGTATACAGACTCTGTATTGCTCCAGATCTAGCCCTTCTCTGAGAGAAACTTTAAAAGTGTTTGGAAATGTGTAGGTGTTTATGTCCATATTAATACTTATTTCTGTGTTGTGTACACATCTGGTTTAATTGCATAAAAAGTAAATTAATTATACTGTTCCTCCCCTCTGCATGTGTCTCTTTAGTATGGCCCTGCTGGTGATGAATGTTTTGTTTTACTCTTGATAGGTTCTGTAACAATTCTAATTCATTCTGAGACCTGGATATTCAAGAGCCAATCATCTGCCATTAATGGGACCCAATGCAATGAATTCATACAATACTACTAAATGGTTGCTTGAAATCTCAACTGATTTTTATCAAGTGCTGTTTTTGTATGCACAATTAAAATTAGAGCTGTTTATCGAACGTCTGTTTAGTCTGGACTGAGGGCTGAGTTTGCAAACCTTGCAATTAATGAAACGGAAATAAGGAAAACCCTGGGGTTTCAAAACTTTCCATCAGACTCCGTGGTCAGCCCATTACAGCTGAAAAATTGGATTTAAAAAGCTCTCTAAGTGCTGTTACTGCACTGGCTTACTGCTGGCCTTTGTCCTGTCTACAGAACAATAGTTCTTTTGCTTGATGTATCTGTAATGCCTCACCGGTTTCTTAGAACTTACACCTGGGTGGTAGACAGCAAAACAAAATGAAAAATCTTCATGAAGATTTATTTGCTTGCTTTAAGAGAAACATCATTTTAAACCTAATATGATGATTTTTAGACGAGGAAGTAAGCAAGCACCAGATGTGTGTGTCAGTATTATTTTAGCTGCGGCTAGATTGCTGAACTGCCAGACAGTTTATTCAGAAATTGTGTATGCATTTGCTTACTTTCAGAGTTGCTAAAGTTGCACTGAGTGCAGTGGTTTCCTTAATGTAAAAATGTTTCACTCTAGTTTTCACCTAGAAGTTTTTTCTAAAAAAAAACAATGGTTTTGCATTAGCATTATTTTAATGCTCTTGGTTTCTTTGTGCTTGTCAGAAGCTGTCATGAATGATTAGTGAGCATGATGCAGAGTATTGAACAACACGTGGAATAGTGTTAATGATGGAGCCTGTAGAGTTCGAGGATGCCAGTGTGATTCATCTCCTCTTGCTGAAGGGATTTCTGGTGCAAAGCTATCATATGTCAGTGGCATCACGTATCGTCTGTCAGTCACACCGCAGAAGTACTGAAACTCTTTCATTTGTCTTTCAAATACAATTTTTGGGTCACATATCAAAGATGGAACACTTTAAAGGCAGAGTTTATGTTCAGAATAACTTTCTTAAAAACAAAAAAGACATGCGAAGCAGGGAGGTGGGGTTGAGAGAACACTTTTAATCTCTGACTTTTTGTTCCACTTCTCTCCGAGTGTTTTGTGCTTTCCTGACAAGTTATCCATTCCTGAAGGGTAGTCAGGATTTGCCACAGAACTTCACAGCTCTCTTTGTTTATTGACCCAGATGGCGTTGCAGTAGTGCTTTTTGCTGTCCTTCTATTTCCGCAGGCATAGCAGTGGTTTTCCGCACGGGGCTGTGCATTTTCCAACTGCTTGAGCCCCGGCTGCTGCGAATGCCAGACATGTCTCTGCTGCTGCCCACGCTGCTCAGGGTGCCTGTTGATGTGTAAGTCTTCATTTATTTAGCTTCCTGTATACAGATTCAATAATGGATGAAGCAGATCATTGCTGGGCGCATAACCGTGACGGAAGGAAGCCAGGAAAAAACTGGCTCTTACAAAAGTGTGCACTGCGGTTCTTCATCTTTTCAGGGGCTGGTAAACAGGGTCTTTTTGTTTTCGCTCTGGCGTGGAATGCGAAATCAGTTAACCTGGCTTGATTAAGATCAGGTATTCTCCAGATGTGATGAATAGAAGCTATGAAAATGGAGTTACTCGGCTTACTATATTTTGTTCCAAGGGCCTAATTTGGCTGAGCTGTTTGTGGCCCTATTCATCTAATTCATCTTTCTTCATTTGTGGATTGAGCTTAAGAATTAAATTTAAAAAAAAAACACTTTCTAAAGAACTGAATGCCTCCTATGTAAAAACTAAACCATCCAGTTGGGCCGGTCAAATAAGAACTGTCTTGTCCTCAATTTACAATAACCAGCACGTGTGTTATTATCCACTGTTCCTATGTAATGTGTTAGTAAGCCTTTTAATGTTTTGTTTCTCTAAATATTTAGATAAGTATGGGGCTAGACATACTGTACCTACCTGAGAATTTTGCCTGCTTTCTAACATAAATATTAACATTGTACACCATGTAATACATTGTTCTCCAAAACCAGAGTGCTGAGTGAATAGAGAATTTTAAATCGCAACAGAATCTAGCTCAAATTCTGTGGCACAACTTCACTTAATTGTGGCTTTTTAAGATAACAGAGCTGTAATTTAAACCTCAGTCTGAAATGAGGAGCTTTGTGTAATGTAAGCGGCATTGAAACACAGTTTAAATATGAACATCAAGTTAATCAGCATTAAGTTGGCACAAAATGAAATATTTTGTTTATTGTTAACTGTCACCTTGGTAGCCAGAGGCAACAAAGAAGGCTGTGTTGGCATAGAATTGGCACAGTAACCGATGCTTCAACATTGTTTTATACTCATTTCAACTGTTTGAGTAGATTTCCTGTAAATTAAATTAATTATCCTTGGAAATCCCAACATGGAAATTTAATGGAGCATTCCTGTTTCTCTGTGAGGGATTGGGAGGATAAGGAAAAAGAAAAACAACTCTTGCCCTTTCTGCATAACCCTGTGTCTTGTAAATCAAAAAGTGTTGCCTTCTTAGTTGATTTTAAGTTGACAGAAAACATGGTCGCACTCACATGTCAAAGTTATTCAATATTGTTTGTGTTAAGAGCCTTTATAATCTTGTGGTTTCAGTTAGTGGGTGGGGAAGTTACCATGGAAACGGTGCCATGCTCCCTTTTTATAGGCCTTGCCCTTAGGTTGCTTATAAAGCTATACATGAGGAGGCCTCCTTGCTTTCACTGATTAGGCCCCTGTTCACCTTTCTGCTCTGCTGAACACAACTTCATGACTTCACAGCCCAAGAATTAAAAAAGAAAAATGTTCACAAAAGCAGCTTTTTACCGATTGTTCACCATAGAAATTAAACGACTGTTCTTGTATAATGACTCAAAACTGACTTATGACCCCCCTCTCTCAACTCCTACATTCATCTTCTGTTATTCTGCAGTTTTACAGGTTTCCAGAGCTGTGTATTCTTGTTTTAAGACATGGTCTGATTTTTGTAAATCTGAGTTTGTGCCTTTTCTATGTCCTATAATCACTGAATGTTAATGCCACTGTTATCTACCTGGGCACAAAGCAGCTGTTGTAGAGTTTGCCATCTGGACAGAGCATTGACTCACTCTGGCAACTTGAAAAGAAATTGCTTTGTAATAACCTTAAATAAGACTTAGAAACCACTTCAAAAGAATGCTAATTATGTTGTTGTCTGTTATACAGGTAGCTTCTGAATATGAAAAAAAAAGTGGTTTATAAACTTTCATAAAATGGTGCATTACTTTGTGCCATTTTCATAAATCCATGTAGAGTCAAAATCTATGATTGTTCCAGTTTGTAGGATTAAAGTTATAAAAATGTAATTCTGTATGCTTATTTTTCATTACTTTAGAATGTTCATTTTGTAGTCCAAGATAAAGAATGTTAATAAGGACCAGCAATAGCAATTACAGACTGAATTCCATTGCCTGATTAGCAAAAAGCATTACGTTCACGACAATTTCATACACGGTGGAGTGTAGGGTTGTTTTTGTACAGTTCCTACTGCCAAGAGAAATAGATACATTATGCATCTATGAAGTGATTTTGCTGTCATCACAGTTACTTTATACCAGTATAATCAAGTGATTTTCATAATTTACAGATCCAAAAACTAGTGCTGTAATGTTATTTCTTCCACTGAGCAAAAGCACTTTTTGTAGCATAAAGTATCCATCAAGCCTGATGAAAGGTCTAGAGTAGTAGTGAACTGTCTGCTAAAACGCATACAAGTGAAAGGGGCCATTTGGTCCATCGATATTCAGTTGATTGTTAGCTGATCCAAGAATCTCATCCAGCCAATTATTGCTAGTAGCCAAGGTATCGTCTTCAACAACATGGCTGTACAGCATGTGTAAAGAAGGAAATGGTTAATATTATTCTTTGTATTAATTAGTATGTTTAGTAAGTGATACAGAGCTCTTGGGTAAGGGGGAAAGAACAAACTGAGGAGGTTAATATCATAGTGCAAGTGGCCTACAGTTTCCTTAGGCATCACGCTGTCAGGACATTTCAAAACTACCTCTATACAGTTTATCATGATGTTTGGTGTAACCTCAAGGCCAGGTCATGGGAGAAGGTACATGCACACAACACAGTATATTGGACCTGGAGGAGGTTTTATTTTTCCAGCTTGCTGAATACTGAATAACTGTGGCAGTTGTTTGACTCTCAATGGGGAAATTCTTTCAGATATCTAAATCTCAATCAGGTAATCTGAAATCAGGAGTGGACAGTTTTATATTTAAACTTCCTTTATTTCACCTGTTGTGTCAGTGAAAATGAAATTCTTATTTCTACTGGTGACCTGCAGGACATTCTTTAATGCTACTGCTGCTGAAATTTGCAGGTGTCCTTCAGTTAATGAATTAGTGAAATTCATTGGCCAAAACATTATTCAGTACCAATGATGTTACCTCGCCAACAACATTTAAACAATAGCTAGAGCATTTCATGAAAGTTATTAAACAACCAGCTATGTGGCATTTGTGCTTTAAAGTTTTAGGATACCAGGATGGCATCACTGTGTATGAACTCTCACAACTGACTAGCATAACATTCCTGAGATGCAACGGTGAGATGCAGTTTCTGCAAAAGCACTATGGAAACTTGTATTTGATCCCTCAATGTAATTAATGTATATATAAACTTCTACCTTTATTTAGGTAACATTGAGGCATTAACTGAAAACTCAAGAATAGGCAGGATGAATCTTCAATGTCTTATATACATATAGAAACATATCCAAGAAATAAGACCTTGCCATCACATTTTATTTTGCCTTGAAAAGAGGAATCAATTGTTAGAAAGGACTTGGCTAGTGTAACATCTTCAGATGCCTATTTGTCAGGCATCCTCTAACAACATTTTGTTTTACCATGCTATTTATATTTGCTGACTGCCGTATCTTTCTTACACCTGAAGAAGGCTCGTGTTTTCTTTCTTCTCTTTTCAGCATGGAATAAACCTATTACTTTTTCCTGTGACCTAATCATGTCTGTTGACATATTAATGAGGATTAATTCTAATCTCCCCACAGGGCACCGACTGTTTTGAAGTATACCAGGCTTACTAGGTTGCTATTTTAAACATTTTGCCTGAAAGTGGATCCAAAATTTGTAGACTTAATTGTTATTCACGGTCTGTTAATCTGTGAATCCCTAAAGACAAAGCTAGCATGGAGTATTCTGTTGGGCCTCGAGGCCTAGTGGTGTGTTCTGTTTATACGATATAGAAGAGTTGGTGTCAGAGCTCCAGGCTATTTGTGACAAACTGACCCTTCCTTACCACCTGCACTGTGACAGGTTTCATTTCTAATCCAATATTTGTTGGACAAGAGGAGAAGTCAAACGCTATTGTACAGTACAATAAGCTGATTAAATACTTTGTTTCATCCGTCTGGTCATTTTTCTGAGTGCAAGTGCGGCCTTTTCATTGGTTGTCAGCATAGGCGATTGTTCCTCTTTAACAACAATAACCGAGACTTGACGGGCTGCTGGACTGATCTTCTCGCTTGTTTCTAAATCCCCGGCACACTCAGCGCTGGAAACCTCAGCCCTGCTTCCCCAGAGCCCTTCAACGTGTGCTGCTCTGTCTGAAGAGCTGACATGTCCTGCAGCAGCCATCTGCTTGGCATTGGGCACTATGCTGTGAACACATCACGTTATTCTTGAGTTCACAGGGTTGTAGAAAGCATTCAGTACTGAGTTAATACACTTTCAGAATGTTTGCAATTTGAAATGTAAGACTGGTAAACACACAAGTTTCAAATAACTTATCTCTTGAGGTTTTTTCGCAGTATAAGACAATTAAAAGCGGTGTATAATTTTCATAATTAGATAATGTAAGAAGTAATGTTCTGTAGTTCGTTGTACTTAGATGTTGCAAAATTAACTTTTGTAGCAGGGAGTATGGGAAATACTAAAATGACTTTTTTCTGTTCAGGGGTGTGTTTGATAGGCTTTCACTTTGGATATCTTTGAGATAATGACATTGAAAGACACTGTATGAAAGAGTTTTATCATCTCCCCCAGCTCCCGCTACAGTGCTCTGGTGCCGGCCCTATGGAACACCGAGGTGCAGGAGTGGGAGATTGACTGCATGCACAGCCTCGTTCTGGAGGAGGACCGGGAAGAACGCTGCCCAGGTAGAACCCAGATCGGGCTTTTCCTCTGGTGCCGTGCTGATTTCTACTGCTGGGCCTAAGCCTTGCTATTCATACTGTACGTGTTTGCCTCCCATCAACCAGATGGGAGGGATAAGTGAAAACATAAAGAGCAACTCCCACCTCCGTATTGTTATTCCTTCAATTTATGGCACTCTAAAAGCATTACTAAGTGAGTGCTCTGCTTCCATCTGCAACATGTAGATAGTCTTGTTGAGGTGTGCTGTTAACCGATGGACTTTAGGGTGTTTTCAAATGACCTATGGTTGTCTGATGCCAGTATGTTTGTGATCATATAAGTAAGGGAATCGAGTTAGCAAACAGAGTAAATTGGGTTTCCAGGGGCACTATTCAAATTGGACAGCCACTGGTATAGACAATGAAGACCTGAGCAGTGTGAGATATTTGTTTGTTTTCCAACAGTCATTTAGTTATTAAAAGAACTAGAAAAAAGACCCTCCTTTAGTTGTTTTAACTTTATCCAGTCCTGATCACAGTCAAAATATCCTGTGATGTTGAATATAGAAATTCAAGTACTAAAATATAGCAAAGAATGTGTGAACTGGACTTTTTCTAATATTTAGTCAGATGTTTTAAAGAAATTGATACCTTTTTTTTCCCAAAAAACCTATACAGTTGATTTCTGTGCTTTGCAATTGTGGAAATGTACTTGAGGGTTGATATTTGCTTAATATATGTAACATGTAGAACGTTGATTAGATACCTGGTATTTACTTTCCTTGATTATGTAACGTTGCCAGACGTAAACCTGTTTTTGTTTCACTGTGTTCCAAATGGTCCACACTTGCCTGATGCAACTTGGGGAAAGCTTTTATCAGCAACCCTTCAGAAATGGGCTATGAGTATTAATACATAGAATCTTTGTGATAGTTGTGATGTGTATATAAAGCTTCTGAATACAGAAATTGCCTGTAGGGACCATTTTACAATGTTGCAAATTTGTTTGTGATTGTGTCTGACTATTTGTGTGTGCTTCTGCGGAGAGAGAACAGAAGTTCTCTGCTGTAAAACACTTCTTCTCGATAAGATAGTAGGCTTGTCTCTGCAGCAGGGTGCAGCACTGACTGCTCCAAAGGTCAGAGGTAAAAATGTGTGTTTATAATACAAGGCGCTTACCCTGTTAGCTGACTTATTCAAACAATGATCCACTGAAAATGGGGCAGTGTGGATGGAGTTTGGTTTTTTTAACCTTTTAATTTGGTGTTCCTTTATAGAAAATGCACATATGTTTAGTGATCAACCCAATTAAGGAAACAGTTCTGGCCTACCGTTTTGTTTTGTGCTTTGGAATAAAAGAAATTAAATATCTCGTACTATGAGTTTTGCTTATTGTTGAGGTTCCAAAGTTTAATCGATTCTAGCAGGGCATAAATCAGTGTCTGTTTGTTGAATGTGCTTGCCCTCTACAACACAGGCCAGAGTCAAAGACCTATTGTGCTGCCAAAGCTAGTGTTTTGGAACAGGTCTGAACAGGTAGATTGGAGGACAATGCACTTTGCTACTCTACAAGATTTTTTCCAATGTTGGATTCAGTGTTGAAAGCCCTCATACACTGCTATGTAGCCTCTATTGCATGTGCAAATTGGGAAACATTGTAAGATTTAGTAAGATGTGGACAAGCAGTCAATAGACCTGACCCCCTGGTATTTCAAGGTCCAGATAAAATTTCACTGATTTTGCTGCTCAGCTGCTATGAGGTTAGTGGGTACATACAATACCACTATTATCACCCCCCCCCTGCCCTTTTGGTGCAAACTGACTGAGATAGTATCTCAGGCTGATATTGTTTTCTTTTTCTCTAGGCTCTGTTAGCAAAGGGATGACTGCAAACAAGAATAAACATTTTCACATAATAAGCAGGGCCTTGTAGTAGTTTATTCATTAGAGAGTTATGCCTGGTAATCTTTGGTTAAACTCCTCAGTTTTTATGTGCATCCTGTGAATATTGAAAAACTGTTGTTTTTTTTTGCACAGGTCTGTGAATCTAAATTTCATCAATGCGTTGATGATGCCTGCACTTTATTCCTGAGTAGCAGAGTACTGGTTGTTTAATCTCATGCTTGAATTAGCAGGGTTTAACTCTGTATTTCTCTGAAAAGTTCCTTCAAATATTTCTGCTGGAGCAATCTGTAACACAGATGTTTTCCTTGGTTGGGACTCTCAAAGTACAAAAAATGTCACTAACCAGTCATTCTCTTATCTCCTTATATTTCTGACTGAATATGTTTCATGTGGTGCCCTCCATATTTTCTGTATGTACATGACATGGTATTCTTTCATTACGTAAACACATTTTTGCCTTTGTAACTTTATCAATATCGATCGTCATCATGCTCACAGACCTGCATCATCCTGCTTTTTGTGAGCTAGCAGCTACAGTACATGGTGCAAAACAGCCCTCAGATCTATGGTTTGTTTGAGGAATGTTCAGTCTGGTTGTAGCATGTGCTGTGGGCTGGCTGTGCAGCTTTGGATCACTGGTGGAATTATCAACTGAAGTGCAGTGACAGTATTTTGGACATTTGATTGTGGCCTCTTCCTGCCTGTTGCTTTAGTGTTATAAGTTAAACAACTTATAAATAATCAGCATTGGCGATATATGGGAATTATGTGAGCATCTGTCTATTGGCATGTTTGATCACACCTAAGTGTGTCTTCAATAATATTCTTGTCTGCAGTGTTGACTGTATTTGTTGATATCAATTTTAATATTCTACAATTGCCTTATTCACTTCAAACTTGCGATACTGAGTATTGCAGTCTTCATAAACCCCCCAGAAAGATAAGGGCATTTAATAGACAATTTAATAAAAAAAACTTTCTTGATCCATTTATAATTGACTAAAAAAAAGTGGATTTTTTTATTTTTCATTGAAACGTTTTGGTTAATTTAAGCTCTTAGAAATAAAATGGGTCACAACATTTCCTTCTCAATACTATAAGAGTTGTTGGTATTACTTTTCCCTATGCATTTATTGTATATCTCACCTTGAATTGACGGTACCAGAATGCATTCTTCCCCTTAGACATGCTAGAACCCCGCTACACATCTGACATGACTCAAAGGCTTCCAGACAAAAGAAAAATTCCCAGAAGTCATTTTAGAGGGTCTTGGTGTATTACAATTGGGGGGCTGTGTTTGGTCTCGCAAAACCTCCAGCCCCGTGTTTTACTGGCAGTCATTTCTCCTCCAGCCTGGTGAGTCATCAAGCTGTCTGCTTCTGTTCCCTAGAAGGGAAAACGATGAATAAATCAAGGCCTTATGTTTTCCTGTTAGTGGGTTTCATACCAGTGATTTAGCAGCTGGCACTATTTGGAATCAGGGTCTGAATGTTGCAGATGTAGAAATTTGTTCCATAAATTGTCCCAGGAAAATTAAATGTGGCTTTTCAAAACTGCTAAACACAAAGGGAAACATTTAGAGACACTTATTTGTTTCTGCTTCTGATCAGGCAGATTCATTATTGTGTGGTTCTTTATACCAAATTTTTGGAGGGTACCCATAATGTTTGGGGGTTCTGAGGGGAAATGGTTGATTGTTTTATGTTTTTATAAAATGAATTCACACAAAAGTTATTGTGAGCCTCCTGAAATCTAGTGGTAGCCAGCACAAAAACTTGTATCCGTCCTATTAACTTTCTGAATGCTTTGGATTATATACTCTTTTTCTACTACCCTATAACACTGCTTCATTTTAATTGACCATGTTTTGAACTTTAATTCTATTTAATGGTAAATCTCTGATCCAGAGAGCTATTGGATGTCACCTCTGACGTCACGCGTCTAGATAATGGCCAAAGCTTGTTGTGCCAGGCAAAGATTTTGCTGTAAATGTAAACTTGGAGCCAACAGATTCTTAAGTGAGGAATGTTCTGTGCTTGTATCTGTAGCCTGACTGTACTCTGAGACTACACAGTGCACGGTTAGTGTCATGGTTCAGTGACTTGGCATTGCAGAGCCATTCAAAAAAAAATCCCTGAATCCAAGCTCAGATCTCAGGCACTGTGGCATTGTAGTCCTGTGACTGCACAGCTGGCTGCCCCCTGCACTGCTCCCTGTCCTCTGGGCCTCATCTGTCTGGGAGCTGATGGATGTTAGGATTCCCTCCTTGGATGGCTGCCTTCTTCCTTTTCGCACCTGTGGAGGAGGAGGAAGACTGATCCGGCGTGGGAGAGTGAGGAGATGGAGAGATACAGTAGTATGTCTGGAAGTAATCTCGTCACTTAGAAATTAATTTATGACCACACAACAAAATAATACAAACCCTATCAGATTCTAATGGAACTGCAAATTGAAATCCATAAAGAGGTATTTGCTGTGACAAAATTAAAGCATATTCCCATTACCTAGTTTGTTGAATTTTCTATTAAAAACACTAATTCTGAGAGGTATTTTGAACAGTTGATTTTTATTTTTAAAGTAGTGTATATGAGCATATTTGGAACAAGTGTGGAAACATCACATGACGGAGGTAGACAATGCCCAGATATCTGGCTCACTTGAGATTAGTTGTCTCATGATGATACTAGGGCTAACATTTGTAGCTTTCCTAGAAGACTGGAGAAGCTTGCTGAGGGAAAGCTTGTCCTTGGTCATCCTCAGCAACAAGTGTGTAGTACTTACAGAAAGATAGAATAAAAATGTAAGCTTCTGCTTTGAGAGAAAGTTGTATTTCAGTAGAAATCTGTTACAGAAGTCTGTATGTTGCAGTATATGAGTGGAGATTCCACAACTGATGTATTGTTCATACACCTCCAACCCTGCAGCTCTGAAATGTTCTCTTCAGTATTATGCAGGTGGTAATGTGTGCATGCAGAACACACAGGCAACATGATGTTCGGGCAATGGCTCCCAAAAGAGGCACTTGCAGTTGTGGTGGTATTGGCAGGAGCAATCCCGAATGGTTTTCATGGTTTAATAGAGACATTGTAACTGGTGTCACACGCAGGGATGGCATTGAT